GTGCCCGGTCCTCTGCATTGCTGGGACACCGGAGACATTCCTGTGTGAACCTGGTTTCACTCCATATGTTCAGCAGATAACCCCATGGGTGTTGAGGACTCATCTGAGTCACTGTCTTCTTGGGCCAGGCACAGGCTTCATACCCTTTGGCTTAGTTTGCGTTTGCTTGGGTGAAATGTAAACAAAGGCTGTTTTCCAGAAATTGGGTAGCTTTTGGGAAAGGCTAAGGATGAGGAAGTAGGGAGGCGTTTCCAGTGTCACCCTTCTTCCTCTTGGGGTCCTTCTGAAGTGGTGACAGAAGCCTGGCCTCTTGGAGAGGTCCAGTTCGGGGAGAACACAGCCTAGACCCCAGCTTCCTTACAAGGTTCTTTCACTTTTCTTGTCTCCCCGAGCTCAGAGCGAGGCTGGGAATCCCTGTGCTCATGGCATCCTCAGTTTCCTCTGGCTTCTCCTCTGAACTCACTGTCATCGCAGCAGATGGGAAGCTTGTGAATAGCTGCTCAAAATACAAGAGACCCCACCCCCAATTAAGGCCTGGCATCTTGGGGATCTGACTCTGTCTTTTTAAGCTCTCTGGGGCCAGTCTACATCAACCCTGATTAAGTACTTGTTAGCTTTACAGCAGGCCAGGTTTGGTTGCTGACTGCCAGTGTTCCAGGTTGTGAAGTTGGCTTAGAGGCATTCCTCTCTCAGCCTGTGTCACAGAAGAGCTCTCATTTTGCTCCCCACCCCCTCCATTTAATTCCACTCTAGTCATTCCTAGGGCTGTTCTACCTCTGTCCATTTTCCTGGGTCATGCTACGTCTCACCTTGGAGGAGAACACTGTGACTCCCAATCTTAGTAAGCCTGGGGGCCAAGGTAGAGGCTCCAGCAGAGAGGCCCCATTGGCTCTGATGGTAGGGCCTCGTTCAGTGATGGGGCTGCTAGGATGCTGCATTCATTCATCCTCTAGTGATGCTTCCCATCCCTTGTGGTGATGGGTCTCATCTCTGTCTAATCAGAAAGCCGGTGCCCCAACGTCTCCGATAGACATTTGACTACCTGGACGCCCCAGTCTTCTCTGCTGTGTCTTCTGGCATGCTCAGTGCACTCTGCCTTTCTCTGTCTCTCTGGTTACTTACAACCTGCTTGGTGTGGCTGTGGGTCTGATCAGCAGTGCCAGGAAGACAGGGCAGTCAGGGGCAGGGGTAAAGAGACACAGGCATCCAGCAACCATTCACTAGCTCCAGATGGCATTAAAGTGTGACCCAACCTATCCCTGGTTGATGCAAGCCTGTATAATCCCAACTAGTACTCCAGAAGCTAAGTTAAGAGGATTTTAAGTCTGAATCAGCCTGAATAACACAGTGAGCTCAAGGCCAGCCAAGGAAATTTAGTGAAACCCTGTCTCAAAAGGTAAAAAGAGGCATGGATAGAGTTCAGTCGGTAGAATGACTGCCTTGTATGTGTGAAGCTCTAGGTTCAATTATTATATTGAAAAATTGATGATGATAATGATGGGTGGTGATGATAAAATGGTCCACGAAGACAGGAAGTTCATGCTGTACACATGGGAAGCAAGCACTAACAAGGGTTCCTAGTGGTGAGTAGGCTGCTGGGGTCCAAGCTTTAGGACAACAGTCCATTCAGTTGAACTTTATAAGTTGGCTTCAGTAAGACCAATTGAGAGGAGAATTATACATTAGAAAAGGCATAGGGGACATAGCTCAGTGGAACAGTGCTGGTCCAGCACATGTGAGACCTGGGTCCAGGTGGGTAAGTCTACATGTATGTATCTGTGTATGCATGCATGCAAAAACAAACTAGAAAGGTAGAGCACATCTTTGGAAAAAAAGCCTGTCTCTTCTGCTGTGTTAGTGAGGTGGTATATGCCAGGCTCTTGGGTTTTCAGTGGCTTCCCTTCAGTTCTGACCCAGGGCAGGTGATTTTTCTTGTATTCAGGACATGGAGGACTTTGTGTTCATAGGAAGTGAGTGAATTTGCTTTCACTTCATTCTCTCATTTAGTCAGTAGATACTGGGCATCTCCAGGTACTCTGGAAGTGTAAGCTAAATGCAGCGTGTACATTCATGCTGCCACAGGCGGCTACAGTGTGGCCAGACAGCAAGCATTACAAGAAGGTGCTGTGTGATTCTGATTGGCTTTGATAAATTACCAAGCTCAGTGAATCACAGCAATGCAAAATCATTAACTTAGACTTCTAGCATAATAAAGCATCCTTTGGACTTTGGTCCTCCCAGAGGCTTCCAAAAATGATCCAGTATCCCTTGCCCTTTTGGTCTCAGAGTGTTCTCTTGCATTCCTTGGCTGATGGCCTCTTCTTCCAGCCTTAGAGCCAGTATTGTGACAACTTCACTCCTTTCTGGCCCTGCCCCATCCTCCTGTCCTCTCTTTGACTTTCATTCTCTTTCCTCTTTTTCAGGACACTTGTGATGACTGGGACTTGATGGGGGAAGTGCTTCTGTGTATGTGTTTGTCTTATTGGATGATAAATAAAATACCGTTTGCCCAATGAGGCAGCAAGTTAGGCGGGACTAGGAGTCAAGTAGGATTCTGGTAAATGTAGTAAAGAAGTGGTGATCCAGGCAGGAAGTGATATAGCAGGGAGACTCATATATAAGCAAGGGCAAGAAGGAAGTCATTCCCTTTTCTCTTTCCTGGTCTTTGCTGCAGAGTCACCATGTGAGCCTGGGAAGACAGGATGCTTCCACTGGCACCCAATAAAATAAGTCTATAAAATATATAGATTTATGATAATTAAGACTGAGCTGGGCTCTTTAATTCGAGTACTCGGGAAGCAGAGACAGGCAGATCTCTGTGAGTTTGAGGCCAGCCTGGTCTCCAGAGCGAGTGCCAGAACACACAAAGCCACATCATAAAAAAAAAAAAAAAAAAAAAAAAAAAAAAAAAAAAAAAAAGAAAGAAAGAAAGAAAGAAAAAGAAAAAAAAAGACTGAGCTAGCAGATGAGAAATCCTAGTCATTGGCCAAGCAGCATTTGTACCCAATATAAGTCTCTGTGTGTTACTTGGGACCTTAACGTGGCAGGGGCAGAACTTGGGCAGCCTGGAGGAAAGCACCCAGGTGGCAGCAGGGCTCCGGTGGCTGTGGCAGAAAGACTTATCGTTACAGGGACTCACCTGGATAACCCAGGAGTATCCCCTTCCTTTGGTCACAGTCATGTGAAGTCCCTTTTGCTGTGCAAAGTAGTGCAGATGTCTATTGGACCATCGTTTGGCCTTCTTAGAGGCTGAAGCCGGTAGCCTGGGGTTATCTTCCCAAGGAGCTTTGCCATTTTAGAGGCCAGCCAGTGTGCTTCTGGAGGGATGGTATGGAAGGCCAGGCCTGGGGGTGGACAGGGTCTAGACAGAAGAGGCACTTGCTACAATGTGTGAATCCCCAAGATGGTGTGGTGGGGTGCAGAGGCTTGGCCATACAGTGTGGCAGCAAATGTGGTAGGTGGCACTGTAAGACTCTGGAGAGAGACGAACCAGGGAAAGCGCTTTGTCATGGATGTCCATGAACAGGTTTGTATTTTAGAGAGCTGCATATCCAAACTAAGATCAGCCTTGGAGTCATAGCATTTCAGTGATGAAATGGCTTTTCTTTTCCTTTTTTTATTGAAAAAAATTTCATATGATGTGTTCTGATCATAGTTTCTCTTTATCTCCTCCTGCACCCTCCTACCTCCCCAGGCAACCAAGTTCATGCCTTCCTTCTCTCTCTCTAGCAAACATACAGACAAAAAATAAATAAAAAAATAAATAAAAAGCACAAGAACCCCATAACACACTCACACACACACACACACACACACACACACACACACACACACAACCCATAAAAGCACAAAGTCAAAATTGGAATCCATAATATATAAGCAAGAGGCCAGTAAGGACCAATAAGATAAAGCCTGCCTAAACAGAGCAATATGAAACAAACAGACAAAAAAAGCCTACCAAAACACCATTGAGTTTGTTTTCAGTTGGCCATCTACTACTGAGCAGGGGGGCTGCCTCTAAGTGTGGTTAATATACCCTGTGAGACCCCCTTACTGAAAACTGACTTTGCAAGCAGTTGTCAATTGGAGATAGCAGTCTTGGTTAGGGATGGCAGTTCATGCTTACTTCCTTCACTCAGCATGGGGACTCTGTCTGGCTTGGACCTGTGCAGGCCCTGTGAGCGCTGCCACAGTCTCTGGGAGATTGTACGTGCTTCAGTTCTGTTGTGTCTGGAAGACACAGCTTCCTTGGAGTCATCCATCCCCTCTGGCTCTTAGAGTCTTTCTGCCTTCTCTTTAGTGTAGCTCCCTGATCCCTAAGGGGAGGGGTTTGAAGAAGGCATCCCATCTAGGGCTACATATTCCAAAGTCTCTCAGTCTCTGCACACTGCCCAGTTGTGTGTCTCTGTATTAACCTCCTAACTGCAGGAGGGGGCTTCTCGGATGATGGCTGATTGAGGCACTGATCTATGGGTATGGTGGACTGTCATTAGGCATCATTTTATTACTATGTTCTTTTAGCAGAACAATGGTATTTGGTTTGCTGGGAGGACTTTTAAAAAGAAAAGTGTGTATCTAAGTGACTTGAGAAGCTCAAGTTGGAAGACCAATGTCCCTTGGAGAGAAAGATGGGAATGATAAGCACTATTGGGGCTATAGCTCAGCAAGGCCTTTGGAGGGTTTCTTTCTCCTTGTTAACTGGAAAACTGGGCAACTGTGATGTAGGAGATGCCCTTTGAATATTGGGGCCACCAGGCCACTGCCACTTCTCTAGCAAGTGGTGGGCCTGTGGCTCCCTTTGAGGATATCTGTGTCAAATCAATGGGCCTGGTTTTCTCCCACTAAGGCTCTGAAGCTGACAGTGCCCTTCCCAAGCCAGTGTTTCTGCCCATGCCTCACAGGTGCCCCTTCCTGCTGCGACCACAGGTCCTTGGTAGGTGTTGCTCAGTCTGCAGAGAAATAGTCACTGAACACCTTCTCTTGTGTTTGTCTCTAGCCCTGGAACAGTTGCTGACAGAGCTGGACAACTTCCTCAAGGTTCTAGACCAGGAGAACCTCAGCAGCGCAGCCATGGTGCGGAAGAGTGGCTTGGCAGAGCTCCTGCGGCTTTACACCAAGAGCAGCAGTAAGTACAGGCCTGGGGCCTCAGTGCCCAGAGAGTACTTGCCTGGTCAGGCTATCTTAGCATGGTGTCATGGGGCCTTTCATAACACACCTTTATTTCCTCACACTGTTGGAGACCAGCTCCTGAGAGCACGGAGTCAGCAAGGCTGGCTCTTTCTTCAGACTTTCTCACACAGCCACCTCTGTGTGTGTCTCCTAATTTCATCTTGTGAGGACTCCATCCATGTAGACTAGGATTACCCTGAGACCTCAGTTTTAGGCTCTCTGTCCAAATCAAAGTTCTGGAAACCTGGAGACAAGGGTGTAATATATGAAGGGCACAGTTGGGCTTATAACCGTGACATGTGGTAACCTGACTTGTCTGGGAACCCTCTATACACTCCACATATCAGCTGGTTGTTGTAAGTGGAATGTGTTCAAAGCCTTCTCCCTGCTGGCTGAAAGAGAAGAGACAGGGTGTTGTTAAGAATGCCCAGGCTTCCTTGGGTAACAGAAAGTTGTTATGAATGCTTAGGATTTGTGTTCTGCCTAAGAAGTCTGCACTTAAATGAATTTGTTTCTTCAGGACAACCCCATGGGGTTGGTGTTGCTGCCACACAGGGAACTCAGACTGTGGGGGTCTAAATACCTTGACTAGTATTCTGTAGCCTGAGGGGAGAAGAAAATATGGCTTTAAGACTGTAAACTGCAGAATCATGAATTCATAATTGTTCCACCATTTTTTTGGTGTGGTAGAATTCACATACAATAGAGTGCACAGACTTTAAGTATGCAGTTCAGTGACTGTTGATAATTGTATACACCAGAGTGGCCCCCATCTAAAACTAAACAGGCTACCCCTATCATCCAGAAAATTCTCTCTTCTGGGCTGGGAAGATGACTCAGTCAGTAAAGTTCTTGTAGTACAAGCTTTGGAAGACCTGAGTTTGATTCCCCCCACCCACAAAGCCAGACATTGCAGCCTGCACTTGTCTTCCCATGGGGAGGTGAAGAAGGGAAGCTAGATCTCCACTGGGTGCTAGCCAAAAAAAGCAGGTGGAGGAGCAGTTGAGAAAGGTTCCCAGTGTCAACCTCTGGCCTTCACATGTATCTGCACAGGTGAGCCCACTCACGTGTAAACATACATACCCACACTTGTGCACCATGCCTGTGCAAGTAAAAGAGGACTTACACACAACACATGGACACTCAGAACAAAAGGTGAAAAGCAAATAAGGACCAACATTTGTAGGTGACCTCTGACCTCCACATGCATATGCACAGAGTTGTTTTTCTTAAGTTCAGCCTTGTTCTATTTCTCTAATCTCCTTCCCATCTCCACTCCAAGGCAGACATTGCCCTCTTTTCTGTCACCTTAAGAAGACACCTGTTCTGGAATTGTGTGAGAATGCCATCATACTGTGTGTACTGTGGCTTCCTTTGGAGACTCACTGGAGCTGTGGGTGTGCCGGGAGTTGTTCCTTTCCTCTCTGGGGTATTTAACCCATGGCTTCCTCCTTGAGAGACTCATCAGAGCTGCATCTGGTTTGCTCCTTTGATCGATGGTGTATTCAATCCTTATTTACTTGTGGATGTCTGTGTGGGGTGTTCACAATTTTCAGCTGTGAAGCTTAGTGGCTGCCATGATCGCTCCTGTATAATTCTTTTGTTCGGATGGTTTCATTTCTAGCAAATTCAGATTTGCTTTTAGAAGAAAAGCTTTGTGAAATCCTGACAGCTGAGTGCAGGCGATTTTTATGCCAGGTGTTTGTGACTAGAAATTCTGTGTGGGAACAGTGAGGACCATCAGAGGACATCAAACCCTTCTGCCTCTCAGCAGGAGTGGCCACCATCCCTTCCAGGGAGGGAAGTATTCACCTGCCCCAGCTGTCACAGTCCAGAGTGCTCCCTTAGTCTAGCCTGACTGTTGCAGGCTGCTCTTTGGAACTCCCTTCCCTTTGTCCCCAGTAGAAAGTGATAAGGTGAAGTGTGTTTCTAGATTCCCATATCCATTCCTGCTAGAGGAACCATCCTGGCTACCCACTCTCCATCACCAAGTGCTTGCCTTTCCCCTTTCTAGGTCACTGCACAGTTCCCAGGCTCCTAGCTTTAAGGCAGCGTCTGCCAGGCTGCACATCAAAGAAGCACTGGTGGGAAACAGAGAAGAATCCACACTACAAAGAGGGAAGGTTAGACAGGGATGAGTCATCTCACAGAGGACTCATTGATAGAACTCTTCAAACAGCAGGATCCCAGACCCTTAAAGATGTAACATTGTAACATATTGGCATAAAGATTGGCATTGTTGTAAAAAGATGTGGCATTGTCATAAAGATGTAACTTTCTTGCAAAAAGCTGTTACATTGTCATAAAGATGTAGCATTGTTATAAAGCTGTAAGTTTGTAACATTGTTACAAAGACTGCACCTGTGAAGAAACAGGCTGTCATCAGGTGCCAGTGTACCACAATGCCTTCCATTCCTGATGTCTTTTGGCTTAGCATGCTGCACAGTGGTATTTATCTCTCTGACTTTCCCTACTCTTGGCCTCTGCTACAGATCGATGGTGAGGAGTTATGGGGATCTGATCAAGTGTCTCCAATGTGAACAGCTCCAGAGATCTCCAAATCCACCAATGAATGTGTTCAACCATATTGAGGCTTGTGACCACTGCTTGAAATTCTCAGGGGTGACACCGGTGTAAATTAACCGCTACTACACATATTTGAGAAGTTTGCCTCCTGGTCTCCTTTGCACTGCTTAGACTACAGGGAATTAACATAGATGGTACCAATGGTGTTTCAGGACAGTGTGTAATGTGTACATTGACTCAGATTATGTCACTTAATCCTTACCTCATATTTGTGAGGGAGTTGGTGTTATGGCATTTACCTGTGAAGTGACCAGGGCTAGTCACTTGCCCAGAGGCCTCCAGTTGTGAGTGCTGGAACCAGAGCAGACAGACCTTGCCATCGCATTCTCTCTCTGGTTCTGTCACCTGGATGAAGTGTGCCATCCTAGACTGAATCCTAAAACACTCCCACCCTGTTACAACATTTGTTCCCTTCACCCCTGTCTCACTGTGTCTCTCCACAGACTCAGCTCACTCTGTATGAGGGGAGACACTCTGCTTGCTTGACGAAAGATTGTGGTCCTTACATGTGGGGTAGAGTATGAGATGGTGGGGGCAGGAGGTGAATGTGTGTGTGTGTGTGCCCCATGTCCCTGTCCGTGGAGGGCATGTGTGTGTGTGTGTGTGTGTGTGTGTGTGTGTGTGTGTGTGGTGTGTGCACCTGTGAGTGCTTTCCTACTTTTCAAATGGGATCATCTGTCTGGGTTTTCTGAGCATTTATTTTATAGTTTGATAGGCCCCTCCATTTTTGGCTGATGATAGGGATTGAATGCTCTTCTGTCAGGGACTTGGCAGCCTGTGGCATGCCATGCCTTTGTCAGCAAGAAACATGTCTCCTGCTCCCCTGCTTAAGATTGCAGAGTTCTAGCAGTTGCTCCTCTGACAGGAGGCACTGCACATGCTCTGCCCGTCCAACTGCAGCTAAGAGCTTCAGCCCTCCCTTCCTCCCTTGCCCGGTTCTGTAAGAGGTGCCACTCTCTGCAGATGGCAGGTCCTCTTGCCCACTATTGGTAGACATCGCAGTTATAGTGCTTTCAAACAAAACCAAAGACTCTAGACAATGCTACAGTGCACAACTTCAAGGACGATTCTGCCTGTGCACTGGAGCATATCTGTAAGACAGACTTCAAACTGTGGAAATGATGGAACAAAGGATGTGGTGGTGTAAGACTGTCCTCCAGAATCAAGGTCACATGATTACCAATTTACTGTCTCTGGGAATCCATTTGATGTTACAGAATGGTGGTGAAGCCTTCTGAATTTGAGGTGTTGTGGTTTTCTTTACTGTTGCCTTATTTTGAGCCTTTAAGTTACTTGTCTCTAATCTTTGCCAGCTATAAAGTGATATTCCCTGAATTTGAGCTTTGTTTGGTCAATGGGTGGGCTTTCATCTTGATGGCTTTCCATCTGGGCAGAGAAGACCACCGAGGCTTAGAGATTAGGGGTTCTTTCCAGAAGTTGCCACTCATAACAGAGCTTGGTGGAGCCCTGTCTCTCACCATTCCCCACCCCCTATCACTTCAACAGAGATATCTGGGCTGGAGCCATGTTGCTTACCCGTCTTGGCATGGCTGGACACTGAGATGGTGCCACTGTGACTGACAGCTGAGAACCCATCTAGCCTCCTCCTGACCCTCTGCCCTTGGCTGGAGTCAGCAGTCTATGGCCGGGGAAGATTGGCCTTGAATTGGATCCTTGGGCAAAGGTTTGCACTGAGTCTGTTGGCTCAGGAATACTGTCCAACCACAAGAATTTACCAACTATGTATTGCAAGGAAATACAAACTAAGGGCCTCAGAGGGCCATCAAGAGGGTGCAAAAGAGGGAAAATCTTGGAGGGCTTTCTCAGCAGCCTCTGAGAATGGGAGCATAGGGGCTAAGAACTAGGCACATGGCAGGAGGCTGGCTCCCCTCTGCCCGCAGGCACCAACCAGAATGGTGGCCTGACCTATATACCCTATTAATTTAAAGGAGAGTGTGGGTTGTATTACAAGTTTCAATCCACAGGACAGACCAAAGGACTGGTGAGCCCGCTTCCCGTGCCTAGCCTTCTCGTCCTGACAGTTTGTTCATTTTGCTGCCCCTCCACCCCAGCCTAAGTTGACCCCCACCCCAGGCTTTGGGAGCTAAACTTCAGGTACTTGGTGTGGTTTTCTTTAATCTAGATGCTTCTGATTTTAGTTCCTGATGATGATTCGTGCCACCATGAGAAAGCAGATAGGAAAGTAGGGACATTTGCAGTTTGTGGGATGCACTCACCGTAGCTCTCTAGGGGATGAAAGCCCTTTCATTTACCATTCTGGTCCTGAAGCTGTCACTGCAGCCTTCCTCCCTCCATCCTCTACCTCCAGGGTAGAAAGCCCATGGCCAGCATCTGGTCATTCCTACACTAGAAGTCTGCCACCCCACCTGTCTCTATGACTAACTCTTTAGAGAGCTTGGAATCCCAATTGCTCCTTTCTCATAATTAATTGTTTTATTTCACATGTATGGATGTTTTGCGAGCATGTGTATATGTACATCACATGCATGCCTGGTGCCTACAGAGGCAGAAGAGGGTGTTGCAGCCCCTGGAACTGCAGTTGCAGGCAGTTTTGAGTCACTGTGTAGGTGCTGAGGATGGAACCCTGGTCCCTTACAAGTGCAGTAAATGCTCTTGATCACTGGGCCATTTGGCCAACCCTGTGCCAAGTGCTCTCCCTTGGCAAGCATGTGAAGGTATCTTCTTAATGGATACTGTCTCTTTCTGGAGGCAAAACAGAGTCACATGAAGCCACATCTCCTGTCTTTCCCTCTGCAGGTTCTGATGAGGAATATATTTACATGAACAAAGTGTCAGTCAACAGTGAACAGAACTCAACATCTCCACATGAAGGTACGAGGCCCTAAGAGGCCCTAAGGGCTGGACTTCTGGGGCTGCCTGGCTTCAGGCAGAGGATCCTAAGCCTTACCCATCCTCCTCGCCTCCCTCCCAGCCAGTTCACAGTCAGGCCTAGGAGTTTATTTTTGGAATCCATATTTTGGTGAATGGTATTTTGGGTTTATATATTTTTGGGTGTTTCAATGGGGCCACCACCTTCTTGCCTATTGGACAGGGAATATGCCCCTAAAATCTTGTGGCTTTTCCCAGCATTGTGGGAAGAGGAAGTCATAACTCAGACATGCTAGAGGCATGTGGTCTGGTCCCACGGTTCCTGCCTCTTTGGGTGAAAGTCTGCTTGGTAGGCTTGTGGCTTTTCCCAGCATTGTGGGAAGAGGAAGTCATAACTCAGACATACTAGAGGCATGTGGTCTAGTCCCACGGTTCCTGCCTCTTTGGGTGAAAGTCTGCTTGGGAGAAGGCAGGGGAAATGATGTTGTCAGCAACTGTGATATTAAAAGATGAAGCTCACGGCGTACTCTTAGGCAGAATGGATTCTCTCCTGCAAGGACTTGGGGCCTCACCCCTGACACCATACTCTTCTGCCTCAAGCTCTTTCTCTGAGAACCTCTGGTGTGTATGGCCTAGAACATTATAGACTATTCAGCATCAGGGGCCACAGGAAGGTTTTCTCCAATTCCCAAACAGAAGGACTTCAAGGGCTGGAAGGGACTCCCTCAGAGAGACCCAGCCATGTCCCCATAAAGGCTCCCCTCTGCACCTCCAGCCAGCCTGTACTGTCTTGCTGGGCTGGTTGAACTGGAGAGAACTGCAAGTCAGTAGCCTAACTTCTTTGGTGTGGTGTCCGCGCCTGTTCCTCCCCCTCCCCCACCACAAGTCAGGGACTGAGAAGCTCATGCAGCACCTGTGGCCACTGGGTAAATGGTGGGAGGAAAGAGGCCATAATCACCAGGTCGGTGCTTTGTGTGACTCAATATAGTGACTGCCAAGCAGCTGCTCTGCTCACTGAGGCTCTGTGGCTGGGCCATTTTTGAAAATGGGGCAGGTAGGGAGGGTTGCAGAGTCTTCCAGAAGCCCCACGCTGGCTACTTCTGAGGAATCTGTGTAGGTCTGGCCTATTCTTGGAGTTAAAAAACAGCTTTGGCTCTAGATTGCCTGCCTGGGTAATTAACACATGCTCAAATAGAATACACAAGACAGGGACAAGTGAGCAGACATCACTGGGTAATGAGAGCCTGCCACCCCTCACTGAAGCCTTTTCCTCTTGCTGCCCACAGTGCCAGAGCAGCAGGGTCCACTGACCAATGGGGAGCCCAGCCAGCACTCCTCAGCCCCACAGAAGAGCCTTCCAGATCTTCCTCCACCCAAGATGGTGAGTGTTGGGCCAGGACACCTGGTCACCTCTCTGACTTGGGCTTTCAGAGCTTGCATCTGTCCTCACAGGTGTCTACCAGTCCTCCAAGTCACTGATACATTCTAAGTACATTCTCTGTGCAAAACACAGCCTGGGGAAGTCAGAACACAGGAAGCCTGACCTGGACACTCCAGTTGCTATGAGCAATGTGCCTGGGGAGGCTTGGTCAAGTGCTTTTGTCAAGTGTCACCTTGTACCTAACACGGCAGGGTCATAAACTGCTCTGGTCACTAGTCCATGAGCCTGTGACCTTCCAAAAAAGATAATTCTTAGCCAGGTGTGGTGGGTTCATGCCTATAATCCCAGAACCCAGGAGACTGAGGCAGGAGGATCTCCATGAATTCAAGTTGGCCTGAGCTACAGGTGAATTCCAGGTCAGCATGGTGCAACTTTGTCTCAAATATACAGAACAGAAAAAGGATTTGTAGCACATTGCACCTCATACTTGAAACCCACCAGTGGGTCTTATAAAGCTTGGAAACTTGGAGACTTCCTGTTCCCAACCTGGTCCCCAGGTGGCACCTCTGGCCCAGCAGTGTTGTTTGCAGCCTCTTCATACTGACTTTTCACTCACTGCCCTTCTGCCCCTGGGCTTGGTTCTTCCTCAGGAACTTTGTACTTTCTGGGCTACTAGCTTGTCCGTGACTGCCACCTCCTCTTCTCTCAAAAGCTCTTACACTTCCGTGGCCTGGATAAAGGAGCCACTGTATTCCTGCTCTGCCCTAGTTATGTTGTATCCAACCGTGGCCCCTGTCGTTACTGCCATTGTTGTCATATTATTTGTGTCCTCCATGAGATATGAGCTCCACAGGACAAGGATGGTACCTTTCATCCACCACCTCATGCCTAGTATCTATACCAAGTAGGCCATGCAGAAGTAATTGCTCACTGGGATGGGTGGATAGATGGATAGGTAGGTAGGAAGGTTGATTGTGATTGGGTGGGTGGTTGGGTGGGTGGGTAGGTTGATGGTGATTGGGTGGATAGGTAGGTAGATAGAGATGGGTAGGACTGTAGAAGGGTAGATAAATAGATGAGTAGATGGATGAATAGATAGTTAATGTGGTTGGGTGGAGGGATAGCTGGATAGATAGATGGGTGGATGATAGCTGGATAGATAGATAGATGGGTGGATGATAGTTGGACAGATAGATAGATGGGTGGTGGGTAGGTGGATGAATATTTGGATGGATGAGTGGGTGAGTGATGGGTAAAATTATAGATTATACAGTCTTTTGTTCAGGTTGCAGTTTGGCCAATACTAGCTAGCTCTTTGACCATGAACAAATTACTTCAAGTGTCCAGCCCTTTGTTTCTCAGCATTGAAGTGATAGTGATGCTGGCATCTGTGTGACCAGATTGTCCAGTTCACTGGGCTAGGTCTGTAAGGCACACAGCACTGTAGGTGCCACATTAAGGCAGCATTTGGTGAGATGAGTCATGGTATTTACATGTTAAGGTATGTTAGGTTTTTATTGCTGTGATAAACACTATGATCAAAAGTGACTCGGGGAGGAAAGGGTTAATTTCAGCTCACAGTTCCAGGTCCATCACTGGGCAAACTCAAGGCAGCAACTTAGGGCAGGTACCTAGAGGCAGGGACCGAAGCAAAAGCCACGGACAGTGTTGCTTCCTGGCTTTCTCCCCCTAATCTGTTCAGTGTGCCTCCACAGCATCCAGGACCACCTGCCCAGGGTGGGTGGCACTGCCCACAATAGCCTGGGCCCTCCCACATCAATCACTAATCAAGAAAATGCCCTATATACGTGACTACAGGCCAACCTTATAAATGCGGTGGCACTGCCCACAATAGCCTGGGCCCTCCCACATCAATCACTAATCAAAATGCCCTATATACGTGACTACAGGCCAACCTTATAAATGCATTTTCTCAGTTGTGGTTCCCTTTTGCAGATAACTCTAGCTTGTGTCAAGTTGACTCAAAAAAAAAAAAAAAATCCAAACAAGACAATGCAGAGGAAGCCCATTGCCTCATAGTCTAGAAGTGACAGTGTTGGGATTTGATCCCAGATTCCTTTCCCCAGAAGGAGGCTTTACTAGAAAAGATCCAACCTAGGAGGTTGTATTTAGGAAGCAGGGGCCCTGGATCAGTACACCTTGGTCACTGGGCTCTGGGTGAGCAGGCCATCACCTGGTCCATGAGGCTTATGAAGGGTCTTGGGCCCAGGACGGCTCTGAACCAGCCTCCCAATTTAAGGCTTGCTAGGGACAGCCAGGTCCCTCAAGTTGGAGTACAAAACTCCAACCACATAGAACATAGAGGTGGCTCTCCAGTGCCTGAGTCAGTGTCCCATGCTTGAAGTCTCCTGAGCTGAGTGACATCTGGTGGGACTCTTCATGTCGGGCAGAGTGATTATTGGAGAGCTCAACTTCCTCTCTGGGTGTCCCTGTGATGCTGTTGACGGCCACCTCCTGAGCTTCCGCCATACTCCATGCAAATCTGTTTCCCTCTGCCCATCAAGGGACAGATGACTCTGTCACCATCTCAGAGTGGTGCCAGTCCTGGCCCAGGCTGATGTCAGGGAGGCAGAGAGGTGGGATCCGAACACAGGCTTCCTGCTGGCTCTATAGCCAAGCGCCAAGCGAGGGGCTGTGTTCCTTCTAGCTTCCCCCCACGCCCTCTCACTCCAGTGCTTGGCGGGTCTGGGGGATACACCTTCAAACTCTCCTGAGCAGCTGTGGGGGTTCTGACTAGAGAAGAGAAACTGGTTCCCCAAAAAGTTTTCTGGACCCCAGGCATCACTCTCTATGACTTTGCTAATCAGAAATGCCACCTGCCATGTCACATGCTCCTGGACAACACCTTGAGGGGAGGTGAATTCACCAGGCAGAGTCCTAAGTATTCTATGAATCTGAGTTTTCCAAACACAGTGTAGAGAGCCCAGGGTTTGGGCTTTGGTCATAGTCTAAAGAACCCATTCACTGGACCTGGAAGCCCCTGGGACTCATGCCATTCTTCAGTGTGAAGACCTGAAGGGTCTTTGTATGAGTTGAAGGGTAGGGAGGGGATAAGGGAGACATGGTCCTCTTGAGAGACCGCCCATGCTTTCTGTGGTGGGAGGCACATGGGAGACAACGTTGACGCGGAGTGGGAGAAAATGTCACCACCCAGGAATAGCTCAGTCTGAAGGGCCTTTCTGAGGTGTGGTGATTGTCCTGGAGACAGACTCCAGACCTGTGCTGGAAGTTCTAGCAGCACAGGTCGACCTTACGGTTCAAGTCCTTCCCTCCATCAGATGGACTTTCTTTGCTAGAAGGGTACAAAGTGTCCAAGGCCTTCCAAATTTTGTCCTAGGCGCCCACTACCAAACCACCCCCCAGTTCTTCTAGATGTGGCATGAGGAAGGGGGCAGTCTCTACTACCCAGGCCCCTTCTTTCCTGCCTACACATGTGTGTTCATGCGTGTGCCCCTAACCCTTCCTGCTCACTTTGCCTGAAGCAGTGAAAATCTTAGTCTGATGTTTTCTGAGGAGCAGGGTCAGGTGAGCCAGGAGGGGAAACAAGAATCAGCATCACCTAGGCTTCCCAGGAAGGATACTTGACAGTTTCACCCCAAGGCCTGAGCCTGGCCCCCTTTCCTCAGTCAGAGATTCCTTCTTCCCTCTCCTGACTCTAGAATATCAGAGTGCTGTGGGGAAGGAACCCTTCGCCCAAATGCTGGGCCCACAGTGCCTCTGTCCTGGACCAGGATGGTGGTCTCCATCCTGGGCTTAGGGTGCTTGTCAGCTCTGAGCCCTGACTTATCTCTGGTGGCTAGGTCCTCACTCCAGGCCACACAGAGTCAGAGGAGACCAGATCCGTCCAGCGGTGAAGGGCAGCCAAGGGTCTGGAGCAAGCTTGTGGGTGTGGACCATGACTCAGACAGCTGAGGTCTCTCCAGGCTTCAGGCTGCAAGGCCAGGTGCTGTGGTCATTGCAAGAGAAGCAGATGTTTGCTGGCCACCAATACCATCTTGGCAAGCACACCCTCCCTACCCCACCCTTCTTGAGCCCTGACCATGACATTAGCACAGATCTCAAGGGGGCTTCATGGTGGGGGAAGCAGCTGACACCCAAATGGCAATTCCATAGTCAGTGTGGGAAGTGGCCTACCCACTTACCATGGCCCCAGGACTTCCTACAGTGTGTTCTTCAGGGAAGAATGCATGAGCACATCGGGTCATCTGGACCATCCTTTGTCTTTGGATCTTATGTTTCATCTTAGGGGTTGATAACATCCCTTTGGTCCACTCACCAGCTACCTGCTTTGCTCAGTAACATCTTCTTGCACTAGATACACACCCTTAGTATGCATGGTCTGTAGATGATTTCTCCGTGCTGCGCCCCGATGCTAGGATTAAGTAGCTGAGAGTCCCCAAGAGGCAACACTTCCCTAAAATACGTGCTCATTGGCTTTTTGGAGAATAGGCAGACATATGGATTTTGGTGAATTCTGACGCTCAGGGAGGGTTCTTCCTCATCTTTTTCGATGGCTGATTATTTCAGTGTTGAAATCAAATGTCTTCTGCATCCTCAGTCAATGATCACTGCCTTCCTGAGGGTTTCTATTGCTGCAGTGAGGAAACACCATGACCAAAAGCAAGTTGGGGAGGAAAAGGTTTATCTGGCTTACACTTCCACAGCACTGTTCATCATTGAAGGGAGTCAGGGCAGGCACTTAAGCAGGGCAGGAACCTGGAGGCAGGAGCTGATGGAGGTGAGCTGCTTACTGGCTTCTCCTCATAGCTTGCTCAGCCTGCTTTCTCGTAGAACCCAGGACCAGCAGCCCAAGCACAGTACCACCCACATGGGCTGGGCCCTCCCCCACCAATCACTAATTGAGAAAATGCCCTATGGCTAGATCTTATGGAGGCATTTTCTCTGCTGAGCTTCCCTCCTCTGAGATAACTCTACTTTCTGTCAAGTTGACATGAAATGACCTACCACAATCCAATCTTCACATCTTAATGATGCTGATACTTAACACAGTGGTCCTTCCTCCTTAGCCCTGAAACATTAGTCTCTCTGTTCTTTGACCTCTAATGATAAGTCACTGTCTCTGGGACTATAGAATGTATGCATGGAACATGGATGTTTTTGTACTATTATTATTGTTGTTGTTATATTGGAAACACATACTTACTGAACACTTACACTGCCCAGCATAGTTTAATCCTCCATGAACAGGCCTTTGTGCTTCTTTTTACACTACAACCCGGACAACATATCCAAAGTCAAAGAGCTAGAATGCTCACACAGTCCTACACTGTCTCTCCCATTTACAGTAGATTTTACTTTGGGGAGAATATGAAGAAACCTGCCTGGCCCTCTACCCTGAACAAGATGGCCTCCTCTAGTCACAGACCCCGTGGTGATGAGCGCTAACCCTGTGACAGAGATTCTCTTCTCCCATTTGTTCAGTTCTAGCAAGTCCCTGACCCAGAGCCAAATTTTGGGTGCTTGGAGTGTCCCTCTGGAAAGGAGCTACTTCCTCACAGGGAGGCTAGCCAATTTAAGACATGCAAGCCCCAAGGCTGTCCAAGGAGAGAACTCTTCCCCTCAGTCCCTGGGAGGCAACACTTGGAATCACAGTTGTTCTCAGAGGCCACCCTCCTCAGGCTGCTGGCTGAGCAGATGACAGAGAAAACTTAGATCAGAGACTTTGTACCCGCTGCTGGCAACAAGCCCAGGATCAGCCTGAACAACTCCTGAGTACCTGCCTACTTCATGCAAGGCCTGGCCCACGGGGCACGTCACATCTCAGTAGCCACCTCTGCCAGCGGACACAGTTCCTGCTCTTGTTAGGGTATGACCTCATGACCCTGCTCCTTCCTGTGTGGTTATGGAAGCAGAAGGGTAGGGCAGAGCCTGTCTCATGCCTGCGCTAGCACCACTGGTATGAAGCCAGGCACAGCAGGGATGGGAACAGGTCTTAGACCCAGGATTGTGTAGGCCTGCCTCAGCTGACATGACAGTTGTGGGGTGGGGGTGCTTCTGACATACACATTGGCCTTTCCACACAGACTGCAGACCCTGGGGTTGTTGACCCCTCAACAATTGTTGACCCTCAACAATTACAGTTATCTTCTTGTGTTTCGTGTGGGCCATGCCCTGTGGAAACACTCACTCATGTTTAACCTCTCTCTCTCTCTCTCTCTCTCTCTCTCTCTCTCTCTTTCTCTCTCTCTCTCCCTCTCTCTCTCTTCTCCCTCTCCCTCTCTGTGTGTGAGAGAGATGGGGAAGAGAGAGAGAGAGAGAGAGAGGGAGAGGGAGAGAGAGAGAGAATGCACACATACAGAGGTAGGAAGAGGGTGTCAGATCTCTCACAGCAGGAATTGTGGCATTTGCAGGACGCCCAGCTTGTCATACGGGTCTCAGGATCCCACCTCTGCTCCCCAAGATTGTGCAGCAAGCACTCCTAACCTCTGAGCCATCTCTCCAGCCCAAATCTCTCACACTTTGACTAGTGTGCCCCCCCAAGTCTCAGGATCCCACCTCTGCTCCCCAAGATTGTGCAGCAAGCACTCCTAACCTCTGAGCCATCTCTCCAGTACAAGTCTCTCACACTTTGACTAGTGTGCCCCCCCCAAAAACAGCCCTGCTATGTATCTTTCTTAGAGAGGAGGCAAACAAGGCTTGGAGGCCATCCCATCCCCCAAGGCAGAGTTCCTGGTAGACCCTGCTCCCTGTCAGCTTGCTGAGAGTCCAGCCAGGCATATTTTATTTCCCTCATAAAAGCCTAACCATGGTTGTTCCCAGTGTGCCCCATCTGAAGCTGTTGGCTTTGTCTCTGTGCGTTACAGATTCCAGAGCGGAAGCAACTCTCCGTTCCAAAGATTGAGTGTCCTGAAGGCTACTATGAAGAGGCTGAGCCATATGACACGTCCATCAACGGTATGTCCCAGGGGCTGGGGCCCAGAGGGGTCTAACTGCCATAACACACAGGTTGAGGCTGACTCATCATCTGGTGACAGATAGCCTCACCTGGGGCTCCTAAGCAGAGGTAGATCAAGTGACATGACATAGGAATGGCCTCAGTTGAGAACTGACCAGTGTCCAGTGTTTGGTCTGGGTGTCCAGCCCCCTGCCTGCCCGTGAGGAGGGGTTGGGGTACTCACAGGAGCAGTTTCCTGTATCTACAGGGTTCCAGATCCTACCTGGCTGTTTCCTGAGCACAGAGAGATGGTGTGGGAGAGATGCTCTAGCCAAGGGCCCTGTGGCCCTGGGCAGCAGTAGATGTGGGTGTCAGGCTGAGGCTGAGGCTGAGGCTGAGGGAAGCATTCATGTTCTTACTCTGGATTCAGTGCTCTCACTAGCAGGGCAAGAACACTGACATTCAACGGAGACAGCACAGACCACAAGTAAATCAAATTGGTTTTGGTGATGGCTTTTAAGGCAGAAAACAGGCCAGTGGCTGCATTTGCTGCAGGAAAGCAGTTAGTCTGACACTGTGACCTGAGGCAGGTGTCTGAAGCTATGGGGAACAGATCAAGTAGGTAACTGCAGAGAGAGAATTCGGGACAGAGAGCAAAGGCTTTTAGTCAGAGAATGCCTAGTGTGTTTGACAAACCAGGAGGCCGCTGTGGTGGGGCCAGGTGAGTCAGGGGAGAGTGATGAGAAGAAGTTGCAGGCCATGGAGGGAACTTGGGTTTTTCCTGGAATGAGACTACAAGCTTCTCTTTGCAGGTCAGTTCATGAGTGGCCTTGCTTAGGTTTTGGACAGTTTGGGGCTGTGAAAGCTGAACTGGATGCTAGATTCCCACTCTCCTTGGCCAGGTCCTCAGCTGGCTGTTGTCCTTTTATCACTATCCTGAAATGCCTGAGAGAATTAGGCCCAAAGTTTTGGAGGCTCTATTTCAAGATTGGGCAGGCGCATTGCTCAAGGCTGCTTTGAGACCTGTCAGGGGACAGTGGTGGGGACATGTGCAATTTGCTTACCTCAAAACCAACAAGCAAAAGCAGGGTAGGGAGGGCGGGCTCCCATGACCCCTTTGAGGACACCCCAATACCTAGGACCTCTCACAAGGTGCCTGCTCTTTTATTTGAGCTTTCTTTTTAAGAAAATACTTTATTTTTATCTGAATGAATGTTTTGTGCCTAGTGCCCAAGGAGGCCAGAGGGTGTCAGATCTTCTGGAACTGGAGTTACAGTAGTTGTCAGGAGCTATATTAGAACCAAACCTGGGCCCTCTGCAAACACAAGTGTGCTTAACTGTTTAGCCATCTCTCCAGCCCCAAAGACTCTCAGTGACACCACACTGGCTTCTAGGGGTAGCAGCATCTTCTCAAGTCCTCCATACTCCTTCCTTTGTGAAATATTTTTTGTAGTTTTAACAGCATTTTGCAAAGGTCACAGGTGAACGTGGGTGCCTGTAGTGGGAATGAACCTGGGTACAGCAGGGCCTTGTACATTTCTTCAACAACAGGACTAGAGTGAAATGGGACCTGGAACTTGACACTGGCCTTTTCTCTTCTCCTTATTTACCTATGGCCCCCAAGTCCCAGGAGCTAGCTGTGTGGGAGGTGAGGGCTTGTTGGGACTGAGGATATTATAAGTGGTTGATGTTGTGGGTACATGAGCCTCACTTCAGTCCCACTGAGCTAATGAGGTGTTGGCGTGTCACAGCCAGGCTGTGATTTCAGACCCAAGCCAGCCAAGGGTGTGGCAATGCTGTCTGGGTGCATCCTGAAGGTAGAAACAGTGACTCACCTCGTGAGCATCTCCTTGTATCCTGAGACCACCTCCTTTCTTGGGTGTGGCCTCTGCCAGCCAGAACCTGTCTCCTAAACACAAGGGCAGACGCTTCACCTCCACACAAACAAGTGGTCAGAAACACTCAGCCTGTTGGTGTTTGTCTCAGACCTGTGCATCCCTGCTGGCTGCCGCTGCCCTCGGGCTTCTCACTGTGTCAGTTTGAGCCCACCAGGTGGAGTGGGCCAGTGAAGCAGGTGGCAGGAATACTGTCCATCTCTCCTATCATCACGAGACCTGGGAACAATTTGGGGAGAGAACTTTATGTGTGTGGCAAACCAGACAGTCCTCACTTACTGTCCCCACATCTTGAGCAGGGTGACCTGGTTACAGCAAGAGGAAGGAACACTAAGCATAGGTGTTTCTCTAGCTGGTTGGCCAACAGGATTGTACTGGCTTCTCTGACAAGGCCAGCTGCTGGGACTCCTATCCTGCTGTATCACCAAAGTCCCAAGGTCGCTCCACTGAGCCAGGATCTACTCTCTGAGCAGGTGCTAACTGAGTGCTCCAAGGGCTTGTGCTTAAGACACTAAGGTCCCTCTCTGCCCAAGATGCAAGGATTTACCCTGATGTGTCACGCTGGGGAAATACGGGTTGCTGTAACCCAAAACTCCCAGGCGTTGGTTTCTGCTCTGAGCAGTGCGGCATTTTTGATCCTGTATAAGTCTGGTGCATCTCATGTTTGGTTCAGCTACCCTGCAGGACCAGAGCATCCTCTCTAAAGAGAGTGTGGAAAGTGCCTGTCTATTCCTTAAAAGCACTACCCAGAAATGACACATGCCACCGGTGAGGACTAGTGAACGATCACCTCTAGATGCGAACAGAGCTAGTAAGTGACATCCTTAACCTCTCCTGGTGAGTCCACCCCTCAGAGAGGACAGCAGCAGGTGGCCCCTAGTACAGTGGTTCCCTGTCTTCCTTCCTTTAATACAGTCCTCTGTGTTGTGGTGACCCCAAGTGTAACATTATTTTCATTGCTGCTTTATAACTGCAAGTTTGCCTCTGTTATGAATCTGATATGCAGGTGGTCTTAGGCAATCCTGTAAAAGGGTTGTTCCACCCCCAAAGGGGGTCTCACCCCACAGACACAGGCCACATCTGGGCCTCTGTGCTTACTGTGCCTCTCTGTCTTTATCCCCTCTCCTTCCTTCTCCCCTCCCCCTCCGCCTTCTCTGTCTATGCTGCTGAACTTGAACCACGCAGGCCGCTATGGAGCATATCTCCCCACTGGAGTCGCCAGATTGGCACAGTTGCCTGAAGGAGACATTTATGCCACGATCACCTTGGGTACTGCTTGTCCCCAGAGTTGGAGTGCCGATGGTTTCTTGCTTGTTACCTGCTCTGAAATGGGTGCATGCCATGGAAAGCCATTGCCTTCTTCCTGTCCCCATGACTGGGTCCTGCATGTACACAGTCGTACACATTTCCTGCCCAACAAGTGTGTTACTGTGCTACTCTGCCTTCCATAAAGCCCCACTTGTGGGACACTCTGCCTTCCTTAATGCCCTGCCTGTGGGACACTCTGCTGTTAAGACATACATACATACACACACACACACACACACACACACACACACACACACACACATATGCTATAGGGAAACAGACTCATGGACACTGGACAAGGTCTAACCAGCTGCAAAGTCTCTCTGTTCTGCACAAAGGAGCTGGGGACAGACCACATGCTGCTTCACACTGTCTGACCCTGTCTTCACAACTCAAGAGAGCACAAGACCTCTGTCTCTTTCCTTTTAAGTGATCATGACCACGGACAAGAAGCCACACCCTAAGGCTGATACCCCAAAGCTATTGGCAGAATGAATTCACACACTTCCCCTTTTTTCTCTAAATAAGAAACGTCTAATCCTAACATAAAAGTGTTTTCATTAAGAGCAACTATGAAGCATTGTGCAGAAGAAAGAAAAGGTAGTAACATAATAATAAGCAAATATAATAACTAAAAATAATAAACAAACATGAAACTACAATCAACAAGAACAATATCAAGCAAGAAACACACAGTAGATGTCCAGGCCATGAGTATTTGACACATTACAGAGATTACTCCACTGGCTGTCCTATCCTGGAGAGTCTAAGTCTTGTATCTAATATGCCCTAGCTAAGATAGGAGAGGATTGTAACTGTGACTATCTAATCTTTAACCCCATCAAAGACCTGAGAAGGAAAATGATATTACCTGAGTAAGCGGGAAGGAAGTACAAGCAAGTGAATTCCAAAAGATACAAGAAATGACAGAAACAGCTGGCTACCTGGACAGTCACCAATGTTTTCTGTAGTGTTGGGCCATCCAGCTGTGGCTCTAGGCCTAGAATATCTGATAGACCAGTTTTAGAAGCAGGAAAATTTGAAAGACGGTCCTACCCTGTCTTGGCAAGATTCAGCAGTCACTTTTCCTTGTACTGTCCAGATCAGACGGCATGCTTACTGTCAGCAGTCGAGGCAAGGGCAGTTCTTTGCCCAGTAAGTCAGTTTTGCCAAGAAGAAAACAAGCTCCATGTGGAGTTTCTTTGATGCCCGTCATCTTCATTGAAGTAGGTTGGTGTTGCCAGGAGCAGACATGTCTCATAGTCATAAAAAGCCTAAGTTCTTAAAACATTTTAAATGCCATATTCTGTAGGTCTTTGAAGTATTTGAAGATTTCCTCTCCATCTGAAATATATCTCTGTATATCTAGAAAACGTAACTAACATGTCTATAAGTTTGACTATTATAGATGACTATTAATTTGTATTTCTTAACCATACATTATATTTTAAATGAGCTGCATAAACATAATACCTTAAACAAGAGTAGAAATATACATATAGTATAACAAAATTAACCTTAAATTTGTATCTATAAACCAAAATCCATACTAATATTAAGTATTCTTTTCTATCACCTGTTTTTCTTTAGAAAGAGATTGACTGTAGCCATTAACCATTTACAACCAACCCCCTTTAAATGAAAACAAACATTTATAAACAATATTTGGAATATATATATATATATATATATATATATATATATATATATATGTTGATTGGGAGCCACTGGTAATCTTATGGGGATCCTGAGAAAATTTAGAATTATGGTTAAATGTGGGCTGTATTAGTCTATCAGGCTAATCGTCTCAGTCAATTGCGTTGAAGCTGTTTTGGAATGTGGATCACACTGTCTGACCCTGTCCCCACAACCCAAGACAGCACAAGACCTCCGTTTCTCTCCTTTTAAGTAATCATGGTCCAAAGACCATGAAGCCACACCCTAAAGCTGGTACCCCAAAGCTATTGGTGGAATAAATTCCCACAACACTCTGCCTTCTTTCTGTGAAGCCCTGCCTGTGGGACACTCTGCCTTCTTTCTGTGAAGCCCTGCCCGTGGGGCACTCTGCCTTCTTTCTGTGAAGCCCTGCCCGTGGCGCACTCTGCCTTCGTAAAGCTGTGCCTGTGGAAGCAAGACTTGCAACCTGCGCGGTGACCAGCCCTTGGCTCCTGAAGACTCTCACAGGACAGAGAGACATATTCTGGTCATCTTCTGCCTTTCCTTCCTCCTCACTCCAAACCCCTGTAAGCCAGGGATCTGTTTTAAGAGACTTCAACATAAGCGAGGGCCTATTGTCCTTCCTAAGGATAAACATAATAGTAATGTCTGCCCTCACAGTTCCCAAGCTATTCCTGATACTAGGATTAGCTGTTTTGTCTAAGCTAGCTTCTGGGAAGCTCACACCATCAGAACTCCCCACGAAGCATGCAGGGCCATTTCAGAAGACACACTGGGCCCTGGGGATGGAGCCAGAGCACTCACACCTGGCTTTGCAGCCTTTCTTGGCTCGTTCTTGTCTGGAAGGAAGAGCCACAGGCATTGTTTCATTTCCCTCTTCACAGGTGCTATAAGGCTGACAACTCGGGAAACTTACCCTATGCACCCTGGCCCCACCATCTCCCTCTCAAATCAACTCCCTGGAGCTCTCTGTTGCCTTGTGGTCTCTCTGCATGCATACTTGCAGGTCTGCCTTCCCCTGTCCTCTTCTCATAGGGAGTTCACTGAGCTGCAGACTAATTTTCAGGGCTTTAATTGATTGTGGGTACATGAATGCTTCCAAAGAGATGAAATCACACTGACTTAGGCAGCCCCCTGCTGCTGGCTACTAAGTAACACCCCACTGAGTATGCTAATGCATGGGATGTTCATTCTTCCTCTTTTTAAATAGTTATTTGTTTGGGTGCTGGGATCTAGGCAAGGGTATTGTGCAGGTTAGGCAAAAGCTCAATCTCGACCTTCCTCTTCTTTTGATTTTTACATTTATTTATTTGAGAGTGAGGTATGGAGGGGCATGTGTATACGATAACACATGTGTTGTGGAGGTCAGGTGTCAGGCTTGGCAGCAAGCAGCCTTGCCCAGTGAGCCATTTTGCTGGCCCCTCCCCTTCTTTTATTTATTTATGTTTTGAAAGTTAGTTCAGGATAAACTCTCAGGACTGGGATTATTGAATCAGAAAGTATGTATGCTTTACAGTTCTTGAAACAACAGGCAGCCAGGATGCTTTCTGAGAGGCTTGCATGAGTTTACGGTACCACAGAAACACAAGAGCTTAGGGTCCCTCCTCTGGGAAGTGTCATGATTTTCTATCTTTGTACATTTAACAGATGTAACAGGTATGGATTATGAACTGGGTATATCTTTGTTTTATATGTATTTGGTAAGCCAGGAAGACGAGCAGTGTCATACCGAGTTTAGAGAAAACTGGTATGAAAATATTTAAAGTGTTATTGTTTAGAAAGTAAGTATATCTCTTTGGCACCATGACTAGAATAACTACACAGCAGCCCTACCTCCTCTCTCCTATGTTCTAATTCAATTGTAACCCTGCTTACCTAACATGCAGGAACCCAGCTAAGAAGATAAAACAGGGGCCCCAAGGCTTTTCTCTTAAAGTGAGTCATGGAACGTTGTTCAGTCGGCCTCGGGGACAGACCCAGAACTGCTGTGTGGAGGACACAGGGAAGCAGCAATTGGGGCGTGTCTAGTGATGGGAGAACAGTGAGCTCCTTGTCCGTTGGGGATACTAGATTCCCATGGGGCTCCAGAGTCCCCTTTTCTTCTCTACAATACTTTTTAAAGGATGGCTAGATGAATGTATGGACATGTAGATGATGGATACATGGGTGGGTGGATGCATGGATTGACGGGTGCGTTCATGCACGGGTGGATGCATCAATGCATGGATGGCTGCGTGCATGCATGCCTGGATGGATGCATGGGCGGGAGACATGCTGGTTCTTTCACATGGCTTCCTTGGCCTGGAGTATAGTGGTGAGGATGGAGAGGAGAGCCATGCTTGCCTTCAGGACAGGAGGGATGTGAACTAGACTTGGGAGAAGGTGGAGTGTGCACCACGTCACACAGTGCTGAGCTGGAGGAGTCTTTAAGATAGAATGCAAAGGGGCCCCTGGGTAAGACAGAGCCCAGGTAAGGAGGAGGAGAAGGGACGCAGCCTGGGAACTGGCAGGTTGGTTCAGAAGGGCTCTGAACAGGACCAGCACATTGTTCTTGTAACCGTCGCTTTTCCCTTTTGAGATAGGGTCTCACCGTGTAGACCAAGATGGCCTGGAGCTCAGAGATCCACCTGCCTGTTTCCCCAGTGCTGTGATGAAAGGTGTGCACCACCACACCCTAAACAAGGAAAACAGGCACTTTCCTGCGATAGGCTATGTAGCCTCTTTTTCTTTTCTTCCCCTCCCCATGGGGAGACAGGCCCCTCCCAGGCCTGGAGCACAGCTAGACCTAGCCCAGACCCTGGAGCCCCCACTGGTTGAGGAGACAGAGGCGCATAGGGCATGCATGCAGTTTATCTGCGGGGCAGCAGTATCTTGTCAGGGTTGTCTGTGGACCCATGAACTAGCATTTGGGAGGGAGATATGCTCTGTGGTGTGAGTCAGCATCTGCAAAGTTTCTCCAGATGGGTGGGGGTGGGAAGCCATTGAGCCAGGTCAAGGATGCGAGAGGCAGGTGGGTGGCAGCCTGGGCTCTCCTGCTGCTCCTACCCTCTGAGGTGTTGCTTGCATGTGGATCCCCTTGCCCGGCTGAGCTCTGACTGACTGGGTGGGTCTCCTTGCAGAGGACGGCGAGGCCGTGAGCAGCTCCTACGAGTCCTATGATGAAGAGGAGAACAGCAAAGGCAAGGCAGCCCCCTACCAGTGGCCCTCGCCTGAGGCCAGCATTGAGCTGATGCGTGACGCCCGCATCTGTGCCTTCCTGTGGCGCAAGAAGTGGCTGGGCCAGTGGGCCAAGCAGCTCTGTGTGATCAGGGACACCAGGCTCTTGGTCAGTCCTCATCTTCTTTACTGGGGCTGGGGAGGGGTGGGAGAGGGGGGTGCTCCCTGGTATGACATTGGGGGTAGAGTCTTTGATATCAGGAGACTTTCACCTTTCCCTGACTTACGGGCATGTGCAGAGTTTTGCATGTGCAGATGAGTGTATTTTGTCTGCATTAGGAAGATCTGGTAGTTTTTAATTAAGCTGTTAAAGCAAGAAGGCTGTTCTCCTCATCCTATTCTTTGCACCTTGCTTATTTTTAGAAGGGGGGTCAAGGAAGGGTCTCACCAGGTAATCCAGGCAGGCCTGGAACTCATCATTCTCTTGATAAAGCATCTTCAGTCAGTGGGGAGATTACAGCCACCACAGTGGTCTCCTTGCTTCTTCTTCCTTCTTTGTTCTCCGTCTTTTTGTCCCTCAGTCCTTCTAATATCATGGTGTGCAAACCCAGTGGCTCCCTCAGTCCAGCTTTAGCTCCAGCTGCTGTTTTGGTATCAGCAACCTGAGGACTGTTGGAATCATCCCAAGAACTACAAGACTTAGTGCCACCTATTCTAAGTTAAAACCTGCAGAGGAACCAGAGACTTGACTCTCACAATAGTTCTACTTCCTGACATTTTAAATTTAAAAAAAAAAAATCACAGCTTTGAAGTAGGTGTGGTTGGTCAGCTGCTCCCAATTGTAGGGCAAGATTGTTTGAGTTTCAGAACTCAAGGCCAGCCTGGGCATCGTAGCAGGACTTTACCTCAAAACCAGGACAAACGTTGACAGCTTTGTGCCCTGACCTGAAGTTTCACAAGGTCTTCATAAACACCCTCACTCTGGTCACAGTTTGAACACCTCAATCCAGATGTTTTCTGGGCGGACTTGCTAGCTGTCCTGTGAGGGCCTTCGTTTTACAATGAGATGCTAAAGGGCAGTATATCTCCTCTGGTAAGGGCTAAAGGGCGATGGTCCCTTCCTTTGAGTTCTGTTACCTGGCAAGATAGACTATAAGCTTGATGTTCATGCCCAGTGTATCTTTTGCTGGGGACACTAAGGACTTGGAGAAAAGGTAGAGAAATATAAGTTTGTCCCACTGTGGAGAAGTGAGTTCTGTCTACAGGGGACAGAGTCATACGCTGCTTAGTGGGGTAGGTAACACATTCTGAGAAATGTGTCCTCAGATGATGTCATTATTGTGTGAGCATCATAGGTTCTTACACAAACGACGACAAGGTGACACTAAGGGAAGCCATTGTATATTGCTGTAATCCACCCATGAGCAGAACATCACTAAGTGGCATACGGCTGTATGAAGATCCCCCTTCTCCAAGCCCAGAGCAGTCTAGAACTATTTGGGTGATTCAGGTCCTGGAACATCCCTGCTCAAAGTCAGGGAAAAGGAGGCTTGAAGGAGAGGAGGTGGGGTCTGATGTAGGTTAAGGCCCTGGCCAGCCTTAGGGGACCCAGCCCTATGGCTTGGGGACATAGTCAGGCTCATGTACGAGAGGGGGCCACCTCAGTGTTCAAGGGCTTCTCCTTTGCAGGAGAAGCCACCCCGTACCCCAGCAAAGCAGCATCTTCTTTCTCTTCCAGTGCTACAAATCGTCCAAAGATCACAGCCCTCAGCTGGACGTGAGCTTGCTGGGCAGCAGTGTTGTGCACAAGGAGAAACACGTGCGGAAGAAAGAGCACAAGCTGAAGATCATGCCAATGAACGCCGACGTGGTCGTGCTGGGCCTGCAGAGCAAGGACCAAGCTGAGCAGTGGCTTCGGGTACGGGGGATGCACCAGACTCCCCCAGGGCTCGAGGGAGGGCTCCTGGAGTTCTGGCCCCCAGAACTTCTACAGGGTAGATGATGAGGTCGACAGTAGACAGGGTCTATGATCCTTCAGGGGCTCAGGGCCTCTAGCATTCTGGATATTGACAATCAATGTCATGGACCAGATAGAGTCGGAATCCCTGGAATGCAAAGGGCTCAGCACTGGGCCCAGTGTATGCCACGTGCAAAGCACTGTTTGGGGTCTGCAGAGTTCCTGGGGCCCAGGGCTGAGTTGCTAGTTGAACTCCCTTCTCTTGCCCAGCCCTCCCTTTTGGTTTTCTGACCGTCCTGTCCCTCCTCACACTCCTGTGTTCACACAGGTACTCACACGTGTGCACACCTGCACACTGACACACAGTCACTGCATGCATGCACACATATTTACAAGCATGAGCTTGTACAGGGATACACACATGTACACTGTTCCTATGTCTAGTTCCCTCCCTCTTACCCCTCTGGGGATCCCCCTGGTGGTCCTGGGCTCATAAGGGGAATGAAGAACTGCTTAGTGAGGTCAGGGCCACCTCTGCTCTGTGTGTCCACAGGCTAGGCACTACAAACCAGTTAAACAGGCCATTTCTTGAAGAGGTGAGGTGGCCCTGTGGCTGGTGGCCTGTGGCCATCAGATCAAAATAGTATCCAAGCCTGCTTCCAAGTGGTGTGGAGACCACAACCCTGGACCCACAGCCATGGAAAATCAGGGAAGCATCAGCAAGTGTACACTCACAATTGTAACACAACAGGACAGAACCCCTGTCCTCACGGTGGCAGAAAGGGGAATGGTGGCATCCAGGCATGGCTGCTCTGTTATCTATGGGCCTTGGTGCAGTAGCGCATGGCACGCTCCCAGATTAGCGGGTTCCTGTGCGGAGTGTGTGAGTGGCATCTGTGTCCTCAGAACACTTGTGGGCCGCAACTAGGGCATAGGTGCTTCTGTTCTTGGAGGGCCAGCCCTCCATGACTCGAGGCACCGTGCCACCATGCTGTGATAGCGGGCAGCAGGGCATGTGAGGACCATGGCCTCTGCTCACAGTGCTTCTTCAATCCAGGTCATCCAGGAGGTGAGTGGCCTGCCTTATGAAGGAGCCACGGAGGGAAACCAGTATACACCAGATGCCCAGCGCCTGAGTTGTCAGAAAGTAAGGCCCCACCCTGCCCGAGGGAGGATCCAATTCTGTGTCTTCTTAGTAAAAAAGTCAGAGTGTGGAATTGAAAGCCTCGTTCTTCATTCTTATACTGCTGCCCAAGTAATAAGAAACACACAAGGCTTGGGTAGGAGCAGGAAGTGAGTTTGGCAGGGAAACGGATAAAACACGCATAGACCTAGCTGTTGTCTTGCTTAAGGAGGAAACATTACTGAAACAAAAATCACTTTGCCCTGCGTTCCTTTTTTTCCATAAAACTTTAGTGGACTAAGTTCATGGCACATGGTGTTGGGTTTCAAGAGATGTTTCCATGCAAGTGTATCAGGCATCTCCACCCACATGTCCCCTTGGCTCTCCCAGCCCCGCAGGACTGATACCATTTGCATGTCATATATGAGTTAATTTATGTGCCCGTATAGAACTGAGGGACCCACTCAGTGTTTGTCTTTCTGAGTCTGACTTATTTGTCTCCGTGTGACAATCTCCTATCATATTCACTTCTTTTTCTGTAAGTGATGCGATTTCATTCTTCTTCGAGGCTGAATAGAACTCCATTGTATTTTTGTGACAACATTTCCTTCACTCATCTGTTGATGGGATCCAGGCTGATCTTGCAACTTGATTATTGGGAATTACTCTATATTCTTCAGCTGGAGATTTATTTTGCAAGGCTGAGGCTTCCCCCACCCCCATCCCCCAGTTCCTAGCCTCCAGGTGGAGCCAACCCCTTGTGGGTCCAGCCAATGGCTCCAAGACTGCCTGGCATGGCACTCTGGGGAACTTTGGTTTTAAGGAAGTTGAATTAAGTGCAGTCGCCCTTCCTATTCCCAAGCATCAACAGTCAGGAACCACCAGCAGTCACAGGGCATGGTTTTTTTCAGCTTGTGTCCCTAGCACTGGCAGTGCAGAAAGCAAGAGGGCACATGGAGCACTTAAATGAGGAGGAGGAGGAGGAGGAGGAGGAAGAGGAGGGGCGAGGAGGCCCCTTATTCTCTGCAAGGCTGAAGGCCACATGGAAAGCCCCTACAGCTCAGCAGGGGGTGTCTTCAGGGTCTCACTCACTGTTTTGGTGCCAACAGGGATGAGTTTGGGTTCCCTTCCCACTGGGTGAGGACAAGGATCCCCCATACACGCGAAGCTTCCCACTGGGCATGGGCCCACTGTCATCAGGTCCAACATCCATTTGGAACACTTGCAAACAGGATGGCAGGGGAGGTACTCTGAGGATGGGGGAATGTGGGTCCCCGGAAGGACAGTGATGGTAGGTGCTCCAGAGAACCCCAAAAGGAAGACTGGCCTGTGTCCGACCAGTGACCTCGGTCAGTAGAGGTTTGGTCGGATGATCTCTAGCATACCCACTAGAGCAGTCTGTTTCCCTTTACACTCTGGTTCTCAGGGCACCTTTTCCCAGCGGGTGACCTCTGTCCATCTCCTTGTTGTCCACAGCCAGATATAGCTGAGAAATACCTGTCAGCTTCAGAGTATGGGAGCTCCACTGATGGCCACTCTGAGGTCCCAGAGACCAAAGACGGTAACTACAGCCCTCTACCTCCTGGGTTGGAAGGGCAACAGTAGTCCATGGTGTGAGACCTAGCTGTCTGACTCAACCCTAATTGTTTTGGGGATAGCTGATGCTAACATAGCCTCCAACAGAACAAAAGGAGAGAGGGCCCAGCCAAAGTTAACTTTTGCCACAGGCTGGGGGAGGGAGTATCCTTCCAGTTCTTTTCCAGTCCTGTTTCAAATCTCTTTGAGGCCACATGGTCTGTCTATGAAGATTCCCAGTGTTCATCCACACGGAGATACCTGTAGGTCCCATGAGTGCATGACTTTGGGATAGCCGACTTGGCCTGCAATCCCCGTGTATCTGTGTGTGTCTGCGTGTGTCTGTGTGTGTCTGCGTGTGTCTGCGTGTGTCTGTGTGTGTCTGCGTGTGTCTGTGTGTGTCTGCGTGCGTCTGGGTGTGTCTGCGTGTATGTGTGTGTGTGTGTGTCTGTGTGTGTGTGTCTGTGTGTGTGTATGTGTGTGTGTGTATATGTGTGTTTGTGTGTATGTGTGTGTGTATATGTATGTGTATGTGTGTGTCTCTGTGTGTCTGTGTGTATGTGCGTGTGTGTGTGTGTGTGTGTGTGTGTATGTGTGTGTGTGTCTATGTGTGTGTATGTGTGTGTGTGTATATGTGTGTTTGTGTGTATGTGTGTGTGTATATGTATGTGTATGTGTGTGTCTCTGTGTGTCTGTGTGTATGTGCGTGTGTGTGTGTGTGTGTGTGTGTGTGTGCGCGCGCGCGTGTTTGTGCGTGCGCACCTGCCCATTGGGCAGGAAGAAGTCTACCTCGATGGAGCCCCCAGAAAGATCCCTCGAGACATCTAGTAAGACCCACAGAAACCTACCTCCAGGACCTGGGGCTTCTTCACTGTTGGTACCCGTCTGAGAAGGCAGAGGCGGGCACACTAAGCTGGGGGTTGGGCTTGTCTTGGATGTGGGGGTTCTTTTTACTTCTCTAGCTTCTGTCCTTTGAGACAGTGAGGGGTAAATGGTTGGAGCCATCTCAGTGTTCCTGTAAGCATACGTCTTGTTTGCTCTGTGGTGTGAGGTATGGCAGGCAGTGTCGGAACAAGGTGGGTGGGAGGTACAGTCCTTCACCTGAATACACATGGGCCGTCTTCATAGTTACCAGGGTTTGGGGCTTGAAGAACCTTTCATGCCCTGTGACCAGAGATGGCTTCATGGATCTGACCTTGGGTAGGTGGGAGCTAAGTAGGTTTAACTGCCTGACAACTGGAGAAAACCCTCTAAGATAGGCATAGGTAACACCTGTTGGGGATCATGGGAAGCCTGAGTGGCAGGTTGCAGGTGCTGGTAGGTTCTCACAGGTTATCTCTCTTTCTCTCGCTTGTGCTTGAAGAAACTGATGTCAGGAGGGAGCCAGGCCAGGCCTAGAAAATATCCTTGTGTGAAATATCTTAATTCCCAGGCTGGGGCTCCTTACTTCAGCCCTCTGTGGGGCTGGAAGGCCATTACTGCTCAAATCTGGGTGTTTTTCTCTGTCCCATTCCTGGGCTCTTTCATGAGACCCTGGTTCTTTTGTTGCTAGAGGTCTTGAGGCTGGCCTGATGGCAGACAAGGTTCCCCCTGAAGCTTTCTGCTTCCCAGGCTGGAGAGTGGACAAGTTCTTCCTGTCCCTGCAGCCTTAGGAAGCTGGGTGCAGAGCAGCTGCCAATCACTCAGAATGGAGAAGACCTATTTCCTAAGCTTGTATTTGAGATACAGAGGCTTGGAGAGGAGGCAATTCATCACATATGGGTGTGTAGAAGGCCCAGAACCCAGGCTTTCCTCGTCTTTGTTGCTTCAGGGACAAGGCTACATTGGTGTGTGATTAGCTTCTCAATAAACTGTCATCAGAAGGGGTGGGGGAAGGGCTTCTCTCTCCTTGAGAAGCTGAACACATACATGCCACCATCCGTGAGTGAGAAAAGATGACATCCTGGGTGCACCCTGCTTCTGGTAGCTTCTCTGTGCTGCCTGGTCAAGTGGCTAAAAGGCTGCAGACCTGGATTCTGCAGAGTAGCTGCTGCAGCTCCCGGAGAGGCACATGTGTCCCACGGAGGAGGTCAGCACAGATGCGGGGTTTTACTGCACCAGACTCTAGACGTGCTAAGGAAGATTGCGTCAGGGCTAGAGAAGGCATGGACACACCTACTCAGCTGGACAGAGAGCGGGTCCGGCACCGTGGGCTGAGGCTCCAGAGACAGCAGCAGTCTCTGCAGCCAGGAGATGTAGGCTGAGTACAGGAAGTAAGACTCCCTGCTGGAACACAGGGAGGCCTGGAGATGAGGTCTGGTGGGAGAGCCTGCGTCCTCAGTGTGTACTCACTCACCAGGGCTATAATGGAGGACAAATCCCACACTCCTCTGGTCATACTTTTGCCAAGAACCAGGACAGATGTACTGCCCTGCCTTGTTGGGCCTATTTACCCAAAGGAAGAAAATAACGCACTCTGAGATGACATGGTGGGTTCTGAAACAAGAGATATTCAAAGAGCCCCCATGACAGTGTGGCTTTCTAGGTCCCCCACAGCCACATCCCTGTTGAAAAGTGTTGCCCTCTTCAGTTGCATCCCCTCTGGTGACTGCCTCCTCCTGTCTGCACGTCCTTCTGCAGGCTACCTGAATGTGCTGGTGAACAGCCAATGGAAGTCACGTTGGTGCTTTGTCAGAGACAGTCATCTACACTTCTACCAGGACCGGAACCGGAGCAAGGTGGCCCAGCAGCCCCTCAGCTTGGTGGGCTGTGAAGTAGTTCCAGACCCCAGCCCCGACCACCTGTATTCCTTCCGTATCCTTCACAACGGCGAGGAGCTGGCCAAGCTTGAGGTACATTGGCTGTGGGGCAGGCAGTCTCTGCTGTCGACTGAAATACCGAGGACCATGATCCCACTGAGAGGGAATCAGTGTGGCTTCATGTTGTAGTTACCTATGCCACCTGCAATTGTTTGCATTTTTAAAAATGTCTATTCTTGTTGGGACCTCAGGGTGGGTGGCTTTGTTACAGGGGTGAGACCATGGGTGGCTTCCTGAATTTCAGGCAGTCAGTGAGTACCTTTAGTACCCACAGTTGCCAGGGAGACTTCTGAACTCAAAGGAGTGCTAGTTACTTTGCATGCCCCCAGCCAGGAGAACCCAGAGAGAGGCCAGTACACAAATATGAGGGCTGTGCAGACTTATCTGGGATCAGGACTTGCTCTGTGTTACAATTACATTTTGGCCTCTCCCTGCCCTTGGTTTCGTGCACTGTTACAGATACAAAAAACAAGAGATGACATAATGCAAGCTTGCAAGGAGCCCCACAGGCAGGGCCAAGTTCCTTGCACACAAGTAAGCACTTGCCCATTAACTCCTGTCCACTTAGCCCTTGAGCCAGGGGTCTTTCAAAGTCTGCTTCAATGCTGCCCTCTTGTGGCTAACACATCTACACCAGCAACAGCTGCACAGACAGGTTCATCCGTCCACTGATTTGTCCACCAGCCCACAGCTATTCATTGGATGGCAGAGAAAACTGATCTCTGCCCTCAGAACTCATTTTCTAGTTTGGTAGTGTGGTGACATTTGACTAATTACACAATTAGTTGTTTAGTACAGTTTCAAGTATGGAGAAGGGCACCGTGAGTGTTCGCTGGGCATAGGATGAGGCTGGGAAAGGGACAAAGCTTGAATCCTAAGAGCTTTAGAGCTCTAGGAGGGGTTCAGGAGAGAGGACATAATTGAAATGGAACGTTAAGATGCCGCTGTTAGCCGGGTGTTGGGGACCCACGCCTCTAATCCCAGCACTTGGGAGGCAGAGGCAGGTGGATCTCTGTGAGTTCAAGGCCAGCCTGGTCTGCAGAGCTAGTACCAGGATAGGCTCCAAAGCTACAGAAAAAAAAAAAAAAAAAAAAAAAAAAAAAAAAAAAAAAAGATGCCGCTGTGTAGATGGAAAAGGGACAAGATGGAACAAAAATAAGACCACCAGGAAGCCACGGCACCCGCCCAGTGTGGGGACAGTAACTTAGGCCACCAGGAGCCGCTGCACCCGCCCAGTGTAGGGATACCTTTGAAAAGCAGTATTGAGAAATCCAACAGGAAGTAAATAGGGGGAAAGAAACCACTTGCCTTCCTTTTCTTGTGGCTGAGAATAAATGCCTGATGGAAAACTTAAGAGGAGGAAAAACTGGTTTGATCAGGACACCCTAGAAGGGAAGGCATGACAGCAGAGGTGTGAGGCAGCTGGTCACATGGCATCCACAGCCGGGAGACGGATGAACGCTGGAGCTCAGCTTGCATTCTCCTTCTTATTGGACCTCATGTGGTCCATGAGATGGATGTTTTCCTTCTTCATTTAAACCTTTGTGGCGACATCCTCACAGACATGCCCAGAGGTGTGTCTCCTAGGTACCACATCCACTCAAGTGGACAAAGGAGATGAATGTCACACCTACCAAAATTCAAGCTTGGTCTTTAGAAGGTGGTAGGACTGTGCAGCATAACACCAGAGGGGTAGCTGGGTTTGCTCATGAAAATAAGCCTGTGGATTTTATAAAACTAATATTGATGTTTGAATAGAAACGCCCACTGTCTGAACCTCATTAGGATCCATTGTCCCCTAAAAGTACACACACCAGACTGGCAGGGATTGAGCTGGTAAATTAACATGGCTTCTTGCTCTTGTATGAGGTCTTTCACACTGTCCATGAAATAAAGTCACCCTACAGTGCACAGTCATTCAGGAACCAACAATTTTAGCAACAACTAACAGACGATAGCTCTTGATAGGTTTTCACGGTTTTACCTTGAGAATACAGTTCTCAGCTTCTAGAAACACATGGCTACAAATTACGTGTGATGCTCCTACTGATGTCTGGAGTGTCACAGAGTGGCACCGTGATTTCAATGCCGGGAAATGCTACTTAGATTCACTTGGGGATACACTGTGTTGGTAAAACTTGGGGTGCCCCGTGCAGGCTGTCTCATGCTTGGTGGTAGGGATGGGAGTGAGCTGTTCTCACCTAGCAGGAGGGACTGGCCTGGATAGCATTCATGACTCTGTGTCCTTTTAGGCCAAATCCTCAGAGGAGATGGGCCACTGGCTAGGCCTCCTGCTCTCAGAGTCAGGCTCCAAGACAGACCCAGAAGAATTCACATATGACTACGTGGATGCTGAAAGGGTTTCCTGTATTGTGAGTGCAGCCAAAACCTCTCTCTTGTGAGTAAGAAGCCTTTCCTTGCATGTCTTCCCATCCACCCTTGCTTCTAGACCTGGTGGGTAGCTAGGACGGTGTGGCCACTGACAGCAGGTGGTCAGTTGAATCCTGCTTGGTCCTGCAGTAGGGAGATACAAAGAAGGAAGCTGGGAGATGCATAGCACAGAGACCCGGATGAGAGCTAGCCCTGGGGAGCTGCAATGCCCAGGGAGACTCAGATGAGAGCTAGCTGGGGGTGGGGGACTGCATGGCACAGTCCTGCTTAGATACTCTCCAGCTCCCAAGGACAGAGTAGGTGACTTCCCTTGCCATTCCTCTGGACTCTTCACTGGGTCTCTGGTGCATTCTGGGACATGTAGGGTGAGGTAGGCACTTCTGCTTGACACGCAGGCAGACAGGCTTGGGCAGGGGTGTGTCAGACAAGGAGGTGCTGCCAGGATTGACAAAGTCAGTGTGTTCCCAACATACAAAATGGGGGTGCATCCTGTCTGAGCTGCCCCAGGTGCACCACGGTGGTGAAATGTACCAGGACCTTGTGGTTGGTGCTAGGTTAGATGTGTAAAAGGGAAGAACCTGCAGAAGGCAGCCATAGGAGTCTGACGAGGGTCTTGGCAGTTTGTTTTCTCTGGAGGGGACATTGTAGACCCAAGACTTCTGGAACAATGAGGAAAGGGCTCTGGCTGCAGGGAGGTTGGCATTTATCTCAGATCTCTGTATAGCCAAGGGCTTTTATTCTGCAATTCCTTGCAATTGGTGGGATCCTGAAAGCTTCATGCACCCATGTATATCTTCCAGGCTAATGCAGAGGAAGTTCTCAGAGCCCAACACATACATCGATGGCTTGCCCAGCCGTGACTGCCCGGAAGAGTTGTATGATGATGTGGAGATGTCCGAGCTGACGACGGCGGTAAGCTCTTGGGAAGTTGGCATGGACTGTTGGGTCCCTTCTGTTGAACCTCTATCACAGGGGGTCACATTGTCCCCAAGATGAGTGGCCCCCAGGTCGGTCACCCCCAGGGCCATCAAGGCAGACTACTCATCTTTCATGCAAGGGGTCCTGTGGTCTAACTTGGAGACCTATCTAGAAAAAAACACCTGTGTATTTGCTGTTTCGTGCTAGGGGTGGAGAGTAGATGGTGGGAGCCTTCAAGGGCCACAGCAGTAGCTGAGGTGGGCCGAGCACACTGGTAGCATGGTCCTGTTTCTGGAATGAAGTCATTGTTGGTAGCTTCAGCTCCCTCAATCCTACCCCACCTTCTAGAAAGTCCTTGTTAGAAAGACTTTCTTCTTTACAGAGTGCTGTGTCTGGGGTCTTCTGCCTCTGGGCTCTGCCATCCTACCCAGGACTCCACAGAGGGTTCCTCTAGAAGGGAAGGGGCTACCCAGAAACTCCAGCATGGGAGGGGACAGGAGACCTGAAGCCAGGTCCCCTACAGTCAAGGGTATGAGGCGATAAAACCCCACCTGACTTTTTCCTGTAGGTAGAGCCCGCCGAGGAAGCCTCCCCTGCTGCTGTAGCTGCTAACAGTGAGAGTGAACTTGACCGAGTGTACCTGGATCTCACTCCTGTCAAGTCCTTCATGCACAGCCCTGATGGGGTACAGGCCTCTCTCCCAGCATTGCCGCAGCTGGATGACCTAGCAGAGACCCTCACAGTAGACCCAGACCCAGGCCTCACCACAGACAAGCCCCACATGGGGTCTACAGAAAGCCTGGAGGAGCAGCAGGTACACACCATCCCACCTGCAGGTGCCCAGCCACCTTGCCGTGTCCTGTAGTCACAGAGTGTGATTTCTCTTGGCACAGGGGCAGGCAGAAAGTCAGGAGTCCTCCGAGCCCATGGAGCCCAGCTTGAGAATCACCACAGTTAAACTGCAGGCTGAGCAGCAGAGAATATCCTTCCCAGCCAACTGCCTGGACTCTGTGGCTTCTGCCCCCAGTGCCAGCCCACCTGTAAAGGACAAGCTGAGGGTGACCAGTGCAGGTACATGGACTAGGACCAGGCTTAACATTTTAGCCAGGGTGTAGTGATGTTAGCCTGAGTCCTTCCCTTTCGTTTGAGGAATCAGGTTAAAAGACATGAAGGAAACTGCCCCTGAAACCAAGGGGGAAAAGAAGCGAGGGACCGACTTTCTTCACCATCTCTGCTGGGCTGGCATCAGCATGGGTGTTCTGCCGTGCCCTGGGTTCTAAGGCTAGGAAGTGGGCTTAAGTCCAGCCCTCGTCATCCATTCCTGGTGACACAAGCCTTTCCCTGTCTGGGTCTGTAGAGATCAAACTTGGGAAGAACCGGACAGAGGCTGAGGTGAGGCGGTACACGGAGGAGAAGGAGAGGCTGGAGAGGAAGAAGGAAGAAATCCGGGGCCACCTGGCTCAGCTCCGCAGAGAGAAGCGAGAACTCAAAGAGACGCTGCTAAGAAGCACCGGTAGGGGCTCCAGGTTGACGGCCAGGGTGGAACCTGGGCCCAAGATACACGGGCTTTGAGAGGGAAGGACCGGGATTTGTCAGTGTGGCCTGAGCCCCCCACGCCTGGGATTGCCCTCCTCTTCTGGTCGTGTCTGATCAGGGCTGTCTCTGCCCAGATCCTCAGGCCAGTGTCAATGCCAGCAGGCAGTTAGGTTGCTCCCGGGTTGCATCTGAGCCAGCTGACTGATGTCCCAAGTCACCCTTCACATCCACACTTGCAGCGAGCACACTTGAATTTCCAGGTGTTTTATGTGTGTAAAACCCAGGCACTGTGAAGACATCTGAGGCCTTCTGGGCGGTTTTCTGAGTTCTCACATCATTCACGGGAGGTTTCCTAGTAACCTACCTCTGAGGCCTTTCTGATGAGCTGACCTGGATCTCAGAGTTGCACCAGCAAGCACAACTGGCCTAGCAGGTTTGGGGACAAATACAACAGGTTTCTGGGAAGCTTATGGTATGACAATTGAAAGTCTTGGGGATAGAGTCCTTCCTCTTTTTAAGTTGTCAAGACAGAGTCCACTTGTCCAGCAGTGAACCCACTTAAAATGCACAAGGCGGTGTTTCTTCATATATTCAGTTAGCAGCTGTATTGCTGACTTTTCCATTGCTATGGCAAAATACCATGTCCAAGGCAGCTTATAAAAGATGGTATTGTGGGGCTCATGGTTGGGGAGGGGTTGAGTCCACGACTCTCATGGTCAGGACTAGGGCATCAGGCAGGCACGGCACTGGAGCAACAGCTAAGAGCTCACATGTTGGGACAGAACCTCACAGTGGAGAGCAAGTGCTAACTTGGAACAGCATGGGCTTTTGAAACATCAAAGCTCATCTCCAGTGCCACCCCTCCTCCACAAGCCAGCAAGGCTGCACTCCTAATCCTTCCTGATCCACCTCCTGGGGACCAAGCATTCAAACATATGAGCCAGTGGGCACCATTCTCAGACACCACTGCAGCCGTCACCACAATTTATTTCTTGAACCACCAAAAGTCTCTGTAAGCGGGGTTCTTTTTGTTTTTAGGGTTCAGCACTCTTAGATATTGTATGTCAGGTTTTTATTGCTATGGTGCAATAAACAACTAGAGGTGTTTATCTAGAATAAACAACTTAGAGGTGGAAGGGCCTTATATAGTCCATGGTTGTTTGGCCCTGTCTGAGTGTGGTAGAGCAGAGCCAAAATACACCTTCCAAAGGCACACCCTGAGAACCCACTGTTTCCAACAAGGCTCCACCTCCTACAGCTCTATCATCCTCCAATTGTCCATTAAGCCTAAATCTGTCAATGGATTTAACCATTGCTTAGTTGAAAGCCCTCATGAGCTCATCTCTGGGAATGACCGCACAGACACACCACAGGCGTGCTTTACTGATCTCCTGGGTGTTTATTGCTTAGTTGAAAGCCCTCATGAGCTCATCTCTGGGAATGACCGCACAAAGCACAGACACACCACAGGCGTGCTTTACTGATCTCCTGGGTGTTCAACCTGGTGATCAAGATTGAGTATCATGTACATCGTGAGGCTCACAGCAGGTGGCCGGGACATGAGGTGGCAGAGGCTGACCCATAGCAGTCCTTGGAACCCCCAAATACACCAAGCCGGGCTGTGAGGAAGGAGCCTAGGCTTCCCCAGCTCTCTGGCATAGATATTCCAGATAGGGGAAAAAAACAAAAAAAACTCACTATGGTTTACTCTCCTGGCAAATAAACTCTTTGGTCTTATAGTCACAGATAAGGAAGTGATCTCAAAGCACTGACGTTGGATATAAATATGATATATAATGCAATATGCTAATTTCAGAATTTCAAACATCACTAACACTAGTTAAACTTTTCCTCTGTATCTTCCTGAAACCATGGCTCTACCACTGCTTGTCATCCATCTAGGGCTGCTGGTTGTCTCAAAGCTTAACACTGGCACATCAAGTCTCTTGTGGCTGTTAACCGATGCTGGGGGCTCCATGTTGCTGTAGCAGGCAATCATTTCTTGACTCCAGGCTGAGGACCACATTCAGGCCCTGGGAAAGCACCAAGCACCAGGGGATAGAGGCAACAGTGTAGGGCAGGGTCAGAACATGCCAGCCACCCTGCAAGGACCATTGGAGACGTTGCTTTCAGGCTAGAATTGAGTGGCGAGAACCTACCAGCAGAGTTTCCTCTGTGGATCCCTCTCCAGCCTGTGAGAACAGAGTAACTCAGACCTGGGCTGGAACACTGCCTACTACCCTGACAAGCCCGTTCCCACATTTCTATGTTAGATCCAGGCCTGTGGTCCACAGGAGCGGGTGCATGCAAACCCTGGCTCTATGCAGCCTGGCTCTCCTGCCTTGGCTGCAATGCTGTCCTCCTCTGCAGATAAGGAAGTCCTGGCTGACCTGGAGCAGAAACTGAAGAAAGTGGACGAAGAGTGCCGGACGGAGGAGAGCAGGCTTGTGGACCTTGAGCTCAGTATTATGGAGGTGAAGGAGAGCCTGAGGAAGGCTGAGGCTGGGCCGGTGACGTTGGGCACCACTGTGGACACCACCCACCTGGACAACGTGAGCCCTCGTGTGAGTGCTGGCACCTGTGTCTCCTGTGGGCAGGACCTCCTGGACACAGGTTGGGAGAGATGGATTTCATACTTATAAACCTCTTGTTCTCCTCCTCAGCCACACCCCAAAGCTGCCACCTCCACCCCAGACTCTACCCCAGTCAACTCGGCATCTGTGCTCAAGAGCAGGCCTCTCTCCGTCATGGTCACAGGCAAAGGCACTGTCTTGCAGAAAGCCAAGGTAAGTGGCCAGCCCTACCCACCTCCCGCAGGGCCGGTGGAAGTGCTCTAGTTGGGGCCTTTGAGCTCAGATGGAACACTGTGGCTTTTGGCACTAACTCTGAGTGAGAGGTATGCTCTCAACAGAAAACCACCATGGCTCAGTCTTTGCCACTGATTAACCAGAAAGGTTAAATTCAGAAAGGTACTTAAATTCAAGTGTCTTGCCCAATGAGCCCTAGGGCAACCCCACCACTCAGGATACATTCCAGGGGTAGGCTTTCGACTGGTATGTTTTCAACCCAGAGGGTTTCTACTACCAGTACCAAAGAAGCCAGAGACAAAAGTCTTAATTAAGTAAAAACGGGGGCCGATCTCTTGGCATGGTTTCTTGCCCAAGGGCTAAACAAGAAGGTTTATTAATCCTTAACTCGTGTGTATAATAAGAAACATGCCTAGAGCTGCCTTGAGGGTGCTCGTTGTTCCCATCCTGTGTGCTCACTGAGAAAGTCAGACGCCCACACCAATGGTGAGCTATTAAATCCATTCAACCACATGAGCCTCTACACTCCCTGACCACTGCAGACATCACTAATCAATCACAGAATTTGGCTGGCCCACAACCTCAAAATCTCTCCATAGGTGCTCCGCACAGGGCAGGGATGAGGCTAGCTGTATGTAACTGATTTTGAGCTTCTAGCTTTTCTTACCTTCTTTACCTATATGAAGGTGACCACAGAGGATAACTCCCCTTGTGGGGTGTTTATGCTTGGTACTGTAGGAGTGGGAGAAGAAAGGAGCCAGTTAGGAAACAAGAACATCCTAAAGACTCTAAAGACAGTGTGGACCTTGGTGACAATCCTGCTTCGGTCAAGTCTTCTTCGATATACAGAAGCTCTGAGGAAGGGGGAGTCTGTGCAGAAGAAACAGCAAGGATTGAGGCACCGTGAACGGAGCCCCAGTTAGAGGAAGGCACCGTCCCCTTTTCAAGCCAAAGGGAATACGGCCGCGGCAGTGGAATCTTTGGAGACCAAGTCTATTGGCTGTCAATGAGACATTGTACTTTTTCCTTTTTTTTTTTTTTATGATTTCATCCATCAATCTGTTGCTTTATCAAGGTTGTTTTTTTGAGACAGGGTTTCTCTGTATTGTTTTGGAGCCTGTCCTGGAACTTGCTCTGTAGATCTGGCTGGCCTTGAACTCACAGAGATCCGCCTGCCTCTGCCTCCTGAGTGCTGGGATTAAAGGCGTGCGCCACCAACGCCCGGCTTTATCAAGGTTTTTAAGTAGTGAAAAAAATGGCCATTTGGCTTTGGTGACAAGAAAATCTAAACTTCCAACCCTTGTTTTTTAATGCTGTATGTGGCAACATTGAGGGTTAAATCATTCTTGACTCCACCCTGGTGGGCCCAACGTGGTCTCTTATGATCTTAAAGAGCATTAGCCATCAATGGCGTGAACTCTAGAGACCAGTAGCAGGGACACATTTGGAACCAAGCTAAGGCACTGACCCCACTAAGGACTTCCCCCTATTCCACGGCAGTCCTGATTCAACTGCCTTTAAAAGACAAACTCTTAAACAATGACGTATTGTATAGAGAAACTCCCTGTGTTTACAAACTCCGTCCTGTGGCCAGGCCACTTTTAAGAAAAGAGTTAGTCATCTATTCATTCCCATATTAAAGATGTTTTTAATTCCTGGTCCCCTTGCAAGAAAAACAGTTGTGCGTTAGAGTAGCCTTTCTCGTCTGTTGGGATTGGCAGCCAGTGCTATCCTTTTGTGGTCTCTATCTGTGGCGGCGTTAACACAGGTTGAAACATTTCATCTATCACCCACCCCATTTCTGGTCATTCAGAATCAGTTCTCAAACGCTGGTTCCTGAAGGCTAAGTATTTTTATGCATATTGTCTTTCTAATCCCAGGGCATTTTTTTTCCTGTGTCATGAACACTTGGTGACCTTTACCAAGTGGTGAGTTAGATTTTTTTAAATAAAATATTCATTGTACTTTGGGTTTCCCTTGTATTGCGTGACATTGCATGGGGCAAAGGCATTGATTATTTACACGATGAACTTAAATATATGCTGTAAAAGCTGGCAGAGCCACATGGGGCAGCCTAGAATGACACAGTAAGGATCCTTACTCAAATAATCTGAGTTAATTACTGTCTAACTAATAAGGTACCAGATACACAAGAAATGCCTCCAGAAGCTAATTTCATGCAGACAATTGAAAGGCAAACCTCTGGAGGTTAAACAGGCTCCTAAGCAACTCTCGGGGAAAAGAAACATACCAACATGCAGAAAGTTGGTATGCAACATACCAACATTGCTGCCTATGCAATGATTAAGGAAATCCAGACCATAAATGTATTTATTTTATATTTAAAAATTGACATGATCAAAAAAAAAACTCCTTGAACATTAAAAAAAAAATAACCTAAGCAAATGGAATAGCAAAATTGACTAGGAAGCCTTAAATACAGACACTGACAAGATTTTGTAAGAAAATACTATGACTACAACAGCAGTGTGAAAGTTTGGGAAATCCAGGTGTTCCATGAAAAGTTAGCACTGCTCTGATATGAAAAGGTCTACATATTGCAAAAGCAAATCTTATCCAGGAGGCAAAAACTTGACTCAATGATTAAAATATAACAATATGTAACTGTTCCCATCCTAGTCTAAATGTGAAGAAGAAAATGGAGCAGGGAAAACATGCTGAAAACCTGGAGAGAGAAGTAGTGTCTCAGCCAGATGGACAACGGACAGGCCCACAGAACACTGGCAAAGTTCCCTACACCTGTAATGGTGGGGGAGTCTCGTACAGGGTGCATATGCCATACATGTTACGTGTCACTACCAATACTTCTCCAAGGCTGCCCTGCAGCTTCCCCAGCTCGGCAATGCTTCTACTGAGAACCCAGCTCCCAAACAGCACAAGCAAGCAGGGCGGGTTAGAACACGCGTGAGCGCTGTGGTTAGGTGCCTAATTAGCTGAAGATACTCCATAGGCTCCTCTTTGCCACACAGATGTTACGCACAAATGGCCAATCTCTCTTGAAAAGCTCAATAGACTGGGCACAAGACGCGTGTGAGACAAAGTAACCCAATAAGCATTGAAAACGAAGCTCCAATCACCCCTCACCTCTCAGTGGCTGGGTTTGAGCAGTCTGCCCTTCATTTCCACCACTGAAAAGAGGACAGATGGCCCATGCCCTACCACTCACCTCTCCTGAGCAACCCTGAAAGGAAGACCCTGAAGGTCTTACCGCACAGCACCCAGGCCAACCACATGGGGATGGAGGACCCTTAGACACAAGGGCCATTTGTATACAGAAGTATGCCCCTTCCCTATACACAAACTGGTTCACTGGTCAAATTGCTGTCTGAGACCTTCTCAGGTCTTTCCCACCCACAGGTCTGGTCACCAAAAAAAGGTCACAAATGGCATATCATCCCTTTTCAAACTGAATCCGTGTAAGATAGCTTTTGGAAAATGGAGAAGTCAGCCTTTTGTGCCAACCCCATCACTGCCTGGTGTGGCCGTCAGATGCCTTCCTCTAGGCATTCCACCTTTTTAATATTCTGTGTAGCATTTTCGATACTCAAAATGACCCTCAAACAGGCCATCAACTTTCCCTGGCCCCATTCTTATCCTCAGGAAAAGTGACAAACAGGCACAGACAGGAGGTAAATACTGACACCTTAGAAGGAGTTCTCAACATCACCACAGTGAGTGGCAGCTGCAGCCACTTTTGTCCCAGGCAGTATGGTCCTCTGTGGCAGAGGCTGTGGGCAGGGCAGCTGTGCTTAGAGCTGGAAGCAGATGTTACAGGACCCCCAGGAGGTGCCCGAGGGCCATAGTCAGTGCCTCTCAGATTCTGAGATGCCCAGGAGCTTGCTGGGAGGGGCTTGGCTGCTGTCTTCCTGCAGGCTCTTGCTGGAAGCTATGTGCCATGAGTGCATCTCCTCTCAAGACACCTGGGGAAGAAAGTGAATTCTGAGGGTGTTTGAGTCTTCCCCTCAGCCAGCAGCTACTTCATGTTCTTTTTACTACTCCACAACTCAATCCCACAAGCGAAAGGCACCAGGTCAGACCCCATCCCACTGCCCACACCTCGTCCTGGGCCCCTGGAAGCCAGTGTGCACCAAGGGCTGGATACCCATAACTCAGGGATGTATTCTGCCTGGTCTAAGGAGGCCCGGATGCGCTGTGTGTCCCCCCCACCGCAATCTGTTACCCGACTCTTCTTAAAGCCCCTTTCTCTCAAAGCTGCAGCCTCTCTCGTGTCACCCAACAAATGGAGACATTCAAGAACAGACACCAGGTACCACCCTGTGTCTACCCACCTACAATGTCTCTGGTCCCACACCCCTGACTGGTGCGCCTAACTCCTTCTAACGTCACATTCCAATGCTACCAATGTACATATTGCTGTCTCCTTGCTGGGACGGAAGCTCCACAGGCAGGGCAGATCTTCTGTCCCAGCCAGCAGCCTGCATCTCCTACTCTAGAATGCCCGAGATGTGTAAGACCCTCCCAAATGTTCCGTAGGGGATGAACAAATGACAATGACACAGCCTGCCTTCTGCTGAGAATGCAGAACTTGGCAGGACTAAGGAGAGCACCCTCATGCATGCAGGAGGCAGCACTCACGGTTCTCACAGTGGGGGCCTTCCCAGCCACCGAGGCACTCGCAGCGGTAACTGCCATGCTTCAGAACACAGATGCCTTCATTCATGCATGGACTGGGTTTGCAGAGGTTCACTGGCCGCTTGGCTTCTGCAAAGGAGAGTGTGCCCAAGCCTGGGTCGGATCCAGAGGCCCCTATTCTAAGCAAGCCCAGTTCCATCTTAAAGGCTGTGGAGCTGGATTAACACCTAAGCGTCTGCCTCCCTTGGTCCTGCAGCAAGAGCTTAGCGTGTGATTGATGAGACTGGGGACTTTGTGGGACTGTAGGGTTGAACACATAAGCTGACAGACACATAGCAAATGAGGACTAGGAAGCTGTCTTCCTCATCACGATGTGCGTGACGGCTCAGACAAAAAAGCCCTGTCTCGAGGTAGCTCTAAGGGATATACACTCTCTCCCACTCACCTCTACATATCCACTCAATGAGCGTGTCCTGGTGGTACCGTAGGTCTGAGTAAGCTGCCACATGGATCAGGGAGTCCCGGGGACCAGCAAGCCTCCGCACTGTTTCCCTGAGAACAGCCCCCACGCTCACAACCAAGACTGAGATGCCATTGTTTCTCAGCTTCTGGGCAGGGACGGCTGCGTCTTCTGCCCCACTACCGCCTGTGAGCATGACGACAGCCTTGGGGACACCAGGGCGGGCACCCCTCTGGACAGTCATCACCTTGTCATCAATGTGCAGCAAGGCTGTGCCAGCAGAGCCCACACCCCCTAGGTAGGGAGCCTGGCTCATGGCCCGCAGCACAGCAGGACGGGTTGGGTGGGTGTCCAGCCCAAAAGCTGTCTGCACCTGGCTGCCATATACCACCAGGCCAACCTGTGTGACATCAGGGTTCACGTCAAAGCGGAGGGTACATTTCCTGACGAAGGTCTGCATCCGAGCGAAGTTCTCCGGTCCCACTGAGGCGGAGGCGTCCAGCAGGAACACCAGGTCCAGTGACTGTGCTTGGCAGCCTAGAGGAGCAAGCAGGAGAGGTGGGTACAATGTCTGGACCCAGCTGGCACCGCAGGGACTGTTGTGGGCTGGATGGAGTCCAGGTCACTCAGTGTGCTGACTGCCATGTAGTATCTACTCTCCCCACAACTGCAGCTCAGCTCTTCCAAAATGTCAACGTGAGTGCTGTGAGTGCAAGTGGCCACTTACTGGTCTCGCTGGCCACTAGATGTGGCCATGTAATCATGTGACGTGTGCACGTGGAAGTCGTTTGCCCCCACCTTCCTCCCCATCTTTTCTTAATGGTGACCTTGGACCTCAACACAGAAGCCACAAGATGGTCAAGTCAAACCACCTGCTGGCTCAGGTCATTCTCCTCTGATCACACGTCCTCTTACAGCACATGCTGCCCACCGCCCACAGGACACTAACATTCCATGTTTTAAGCAGGCTGAGACCCGTCCCCATGTGTGATCTATGACTGTGTATGGGGAATAACCATGAAAGTGCAACAGAGAGGAAGCAGGAAACGGCCAGAGGGGACAGTGGGACGTTTGGCATCGGGATTCTGGGGAGGCGAGGCCTCTAAGTGGGGAGTGTATGAGAGCCCAACAGGAAATGCTCAGTAGCCAGTGGAAGGAGCCCAGGTTTCTTTCAGATGCAGAGAGCCATTGGGAAGGTTTAAATATGGCGTAGAGGGGTCTGGTGGCCTGAGTTATTGGCTTTTAAAAACCACACTGGGCACAAGCAAAATATGGATACCGCCACAACCACAGAAGCCTAACGAGACAGGGCCACTAACTGTCCTGAGGGGTCACTGCTGGCATTTGGGGACAAGGAGATTTCAGGTAAAGGCTGAGGAGCCTGAGCAAGGTGTGTAGTGAGAGATCTTACTAGGTACCTGTGGCGCTGACCACGCCCGTTTGGGCATGGTCAAGGTGCATGTGTGAGCGTGTGGGATTTTGGTCTGAGAGGAAGGACAGGCTTGCTCTCTCTGGGTTCTGGTCGGATCTCGGAGGGCAGCTGAGATTGGACGCTCGTAGTGCTGACCCTGGGTTATCAGTTTCTCATGTAAGTGACTTCTCCCCAATAAAACTAACTTACATCATCCCAATCCTGTGTATCGTAATTTGTACTACCACATTCTACTGAGTAGTTCATCAATCTTGGTCTGTTAACTGTAACAATGGTCCATTCTAATGTGAAGAAACGAACTCAGGAACCCGCTGCAACTGGCACGTCTCTTCTATATGCCCGTGGCCATGCTTAAAGAAAACCAAAATCATTTTGCCATAGGAGACTGGGCACAGCAGCCCTCCTCACCGTTACAGAAGTGGGCACTCTCGCCTCTGGGGACAGTAGCACAGCCTGGCATGCTCAGTGCTATGGATGTACAGATCAAGACTCTCGGGACTAGGCTCAATATAGGTTAATCTAATTTTATTTGGGGAGAAGGCACTTACACAATAAACAGATGACCACTGCAAGTTCCCTCTCCAAGGACCCACCCAGGCTGCCCTATGTGACCCGACCGGAAGGAAGAGAGCGAGTGGGATCAGGGACCCCAGACCTAGTCCTACCCTCTGTTATGTCCGAACCTGTGACCATACCCAAACGGGCATGGTCAGTGCTACAAGTGTGTGTGTGGGGGGGGGGTGGAGATCCCACTACAAAATGCCATTTGCAGTTTCCTCCATTCAGCCCCCCAGGTGAGTGCTGAAGAGCCCTCGTAAGGATGTGTTCCAGCTCTGATGTCCCTGGTACCAGCCTAGCCCCTGCCTACTCCCAGGGTTGTCATTCTCCCTCTGACCGCTACGCACAAAATCAGCCCAGTGGCTAACAAAACAGAACAGAAAAGTGCTGCGGCACATGCCAGCCAGCCAGGCTAGGGATCATTTAGAAAAATGTTCACTTTGGTTGTGTTTGCATGTGCAAGCAACAAGCATGTGTGCATGAGTACACATGCATATGTCCCAAGAATGCATTTCTCTTTAACGAGCTACCACCGGAGAGGCCAGGAAGCCACAGCTGTTCTCAAGCAGGCTTGGTAGACTCGGGACTGCTGGGGACAACTAACGATGACCAAGCATAATTAGTAGCAATGCCTATAATTGGCAGGGTGCCTGGACATGACGAGAGAGCCTGCGGGCTTGCCTTATCTAGTCCTCAAAAGAAGTCCCCACCAAGTGCTACAATCAGTCCCTGCTGCCCATGTGATTACGAGTCTAGTCCCCAGCATAGGGCATTAGAGAAAAGAATGATTAGTGACACCAGGGAGAAAGATTGGACAAGATGGACCTGTCTACTGACAAGCCAGCCCTAGGTTAAGCTGCACAATTTTACCTGGCCGCGGCTGGCTGCACAGCCTCCTCTGCAGCTCCGGGGTTTGGCCGAGTAGGTCCCCAGGGTCCGTGTAGACCAGCACATGCTTCCGGCTACCTGTGATCAACTCCAGGTCTGCCTGCACCATCTCACTGCCCACACCCAGGAGGAGCAGCTCCCGAGTCCTTGCATGAGCTGCTGGCCCAGCCACCTCATCCTGGGAGTGGGATTCGGTAAGCAGAACCACTGCTCTGTGTGGCCTGTCCTGGCCTGTCCTGCTGGCACTCCCAAAACCATGCTCTGCTACCTGTAGCAAGGCACTGCCGGTCAGGGTTGGGCCACCACTGAAGGGAACGCGGTCAAGGCTCCTGACCAGATCTGGAATATCCTGGTACTCCCCGACAGGCACGGCCACCTTCAGATCCCTGCTGTAACTGGCCACCCCAACGCGGGCCCGAGAGTCCTCAGTCAGCACGGCCTGCACGAAACGTTTCACAAAGGTCTTGGCCCGCCGGAAGCCCTCCGGAGTGGTGCCTGCGGAACTGTCCAGGAGGAAGAGGACATCAATCCTGCATTCCAGGCTCAGCTTCGGGGCTGGAAGAATCACAGTGATGCACACTGTCATCTAGGGCCACTGCAGCGTGCAGACCAGCCCTACCTGAGGTACCTCCAGCACAAGGAACCTCCCAGGAAGACGACGAGCGAGAGACTGGAACCCCAGGAGTAAGCATCCAGTGGTCACACACAGAGAGACAGAGGTACACTGCTTCTTCCTGCCTCTGCTGTGGGACACAGTCCAGTTGCTTTTTATAAAGCAAAATGCACCTATTCTCTTATTCTCCATTGTGGTCAGCGCCCTTTGAGTGCTGAGATAGCTTTGTCAGCTTTTAAGATCATGGAAATACACTCATACATTTCTTTCAGACTGGTTCCTGTTTTGCATTTTAGATGTACAGCTATCATCCTGGACTGATTTTGAGTAGGTTTGAGGTATGAGATTTACTTTTTCCATATGGATCTCCCATGAAGGCAACAGCAAGCACACTTTTAAAAAGTTACTTAGGTTCTTGCTGTGCACTGGACACTGTGCTAAGCACTCTACATAATCTTATTTAACCCCCCTAACTCCCTGCCCCCATGAGCTGAGGGTTATAGAACCTTCACTGCATGGCTTTAAAACCAAAAGAAGTTAGAACCCCTTGTTCCCCTTTTGTAGAAGACATGAAACAAGCCGTCGACACAATCAGACATTAGGCAGCAGATATTCAACGGCGCTGCCGGCGGGCCACTCAATCATGGAGTGTCTGAGGCCGCACCATGTGAGAGACCAGGGGGCTAGAGGGAAAGAAGGTAGCTTGAAAGTGTAAGGGCTACTTTCTACCCAGCAGCTAGCAGGGGACGAGGAGGGTGGACCCGGGTCCTACCTCCGCCTCTTGGGAATCCCAGGTATACGTACCGCAGTTGACTTCCCCTCCGAACGCCAGCGGGCAGAGGCAGTGGTATCTATCCACACCCTCTGGAATGCATGTGCCTCCATTTTGGCAGGGCTGGGAGTCACAGGGGCCTATCAGAGAAATATGCACTGAAAGTCAAGAACACAGGCACAGAGTGTGGAATATTGCCTGAAGGGTAGTCCCTGCTTTCTGCCCACACCATCTAGTAGGAGAACAGACAAGAAAGAATCAAATTGCTTTTGAGTGCCAAGTGCAGATTGGGAGTGATGCCTCCTCAAGGCTGGTGTGAAGCACAGGAAAGCACAGCATCTGTCAAGGCCGGTGTGAAGCACACACAGTGTGTGACAAGGCTGGTGTGAAGCACAGTGTACATCAAGGCTGGTGTGAAGCACAGTGTGTGTCAAGGCTGGTGTGAAGCACCGGGAAGCGCAGTCTATGTGAAAGCTGGACCATTCTAAAAGGTCTAGTCAACAGTACTCTGTGGTCACTAATTCCCTGAGTCCCTTGGCTCCTTATCAATTATTAAAATGCAGTTTAACACCCCCCACAACCTTCCTCCCAAAGTCTCGGAAAACAAGGAGGATCTTCAGGCATTGGAGCAAGCTCAGGGAATAGCTGAGTGTGTCACCATTGAGGCTGGCAGTTCTTATTTAAGAACATTAGTGTGTGTCTATTTACTGGCTACATCACTGTGGTTAAAGGATAGACTTTTCAATGACAGACACAGCTGACACACATTCTGTGCGCTTTCCTTGACCGGCTGTGCTAACGGTTTAAGCATCATGGGGAACTCTCAGGGGCTCCGGAACTATAGTCTCATATACTTCCAATTGAACATTGCCACGGAGACGAGACCTGTGCTAACCACAGCCCAAGCAAGGCCCGATTTCTACATCACAGCCACCTTAAGACATGGAAACTCCTATTCAGTCTCTATTTGCATACAGGAAGCTGTAGCTCCATGAACAGAAGTCTCTCACTGAAACTCAGGTGACTGGGCAGGGCAGGGCAGAGCTGAGCTTCAAGCTCAGGTCACTTGGAGTCCACAACTTCTCCACAGCCACTGCTTGTGTCAGTTTCTCCTTCATATCAGAGACCAGTGATGTTGAGGCTTCGACACTTTGAAAGAATGTGCCAAGAGGCTTTCCTGACCCAGGCAGGGAACCTCCCCTCCATGCCTGGAATCTGCCGTCTGCCCCTTGTCGCACTGGGGGAGGCAAGCCCAAAAAACCAACACTCAGGCACAATGTTTGCTTGAAGGACAGTGGGAGGTACTGGACCTCTGTGTGACAAGCACTCTGGGGACCATGGTGAATGAGGCTTAATGCTGTTGGTGGTTCTTCCTGTTGGGGACTCTGGACTGATCAAGCACTTCCACAGGCAACACCTAGTGGATTCTTAGCAGGATCCAGGAATGAGGCCTTCTATGGTGGAGAGTGGGAAAGGGATGCTATAAACCTCAGGCAGATGTAACTCCACTTGACAGAGGTGAAAACCACGCAGGTTTCTTGCCCCAGGTTTAATGCTAGATAATGCTAAACAAATGTGAAGTCATTTGTCCTGTTACTCAGGGTGTTCCTTACTGATGCAAAGTGCCCTGGCTAAGAAGGCAACTCCAAAGCCACCATCAGTCCATCCTCCGTGGAAATATGCCACCAGGCAGAGGACGAGTGAAGTACAGCAGGACACCACTCCTTGGCCACTAAATGCCCATCCCTCTTGCCCTGGAACTTATCCCAACCCCACCTCTGCTCAGGGCTGCCAGTGTCCCTTCATAAACCGGCCTCACAGAGTGCTGGAGGGTTCAAGAGGGAAATCATACCTGGACAGATGGTCCTGTAGCAGGTGGCAGGGTGTGTTTGCAACACTCTCTTCCAGCTACGATCCAAGGAAATACAGAAGTGAATTATTAGTATTCAGGCATCTGTACTGTCCTGTCCTTGGGGTTCTGACAGGATACACCCTCTGCTACAGTCACTAAGAGCACCACCTGTGCTCATTAATTAACTATGTTCCCTTTTAAAAGGGCCCTGCCCACCTTCCATCCTCCTCTCTCTCAATCTCTCTCTCTTTCTCTCTCTCTCTCTCTCTCTCTCCTCTCCTCTCTCTCTCTCTCTCTCTCTCTCTCTCCCTCTCCCTCCCTCTCTCCTGTCCCCAGAGGCCAGTCTCCCCCCTCCCCTTTCCCCTTTTTAGGATCCCTTCCCCCCACAAAAATACCCTCTGTTTGAACCCTGTCACATGGTGTCTTTCTCTCGAGTGCTGCTTTTCTTAAATTACAACAGGAATGACCAAAGTTTTCAGAGACCATAGCACTAAACACTCACTTTTTTCCTTGTACATTAAGTGGGGAATGTTTCAGACTACCCTTTTCCTCCATCCTCAAAAAAGGTGTTAACTAGGTGTCACATTAAAAGTCAAAAATATAGCCAGGCATTGTGTTGCAAGCCTTTAATTCCAGCACTTGAGAGACAGAAGCAGAGGCAGTCTGACCTCCCAGACTGAGGCCAGCCTGGTCTACGGAGCAAATTTCAGGACAGCCAGGGCTACACAGAGAAACTCTGTCTTGAAAAATAAACAAGTTACAGGTGTGTGTGTGTGTGTGTGTGTGTGTGTGTGTGTGTGTGTGTGTGTGTGACACT